CCTTTTCTTTTTGCAAACTAAAACTCTCCTCCTTTCACAGTGAACACTGTGCTTTCCTCCTGCAGTGATGCCACTTTGCTTTTTATCTCTGAATTTCTAGGAACCCCGTGTAAGTAGGAATAGTTTGTCCTTTTGCAACTGGCTCCTCTTAGCTAAATGTCTTCAGACTTCATCCATGCTGTAACATGTCTGAGAGTTTCCTTTGTGGTTAAGACTGAATAATAATCGCGTTGTATGTATATCGCACATTTTCTCTCCCTTTGCCCATTAGCAGATGGTCGGGTTGCTTGCTGCTATGAACATGGACATACTCAGGTGGTGGGATTGCTGGATCATACTGTAGTTCTATTTTTAATTTTTTCGGGAACCTCCATACTGCTTTCTGTAGCAGTTGCACCATTTAGAAGTCCCAACAGCAGTGCGCAAGGGTTCTAGTTTCTCCAGTTTCTGGCCACCTATGTTATTTTTTGTGTATTTTGATAGTCCTATGGGTGTGAAGTGCTATCACACTGTGGTTTTGATTTGCATTTCTCTGATGATGAGCTGATGCTGAGCATCCCATCATGTGCTTCTTGGCCATTTGAACGTCATTGGAGGAATGTGGTCTCAAGTCTTGCCCATCTTTAATCGGGTTTTTGATTTTTTGTTGATCTGTAGGAGTTCTTTATATATCCTGATCATTAACCCCTCATTGGATGTGATTTAAAAATATTTTCTTTCCATTTTATAGGTGTCTTTTTACTCTCTTGATTGTGTCATTTGATGTATAAAAGCTTTTAAGCTTAATTTAGTCCCGTAAGTCAGTTTTTGCTTTTGTTGCCTGTGCTTTTTAAAAATTCATTTATTTATTTATTTTGCAGTTGTTTTGGCCAGGACTGGGTTTGAACCTGCCACGTCTGGTATGTGGGGCCGGCGCCCTACTCCTTGAGCCACAGGCGCCGCCCTTTTAAATTTATTTTTTATTACTACAGATACCTTGCGTGCCTGTGCTTTCTGTGTCAAGAAATATTGTCCAACAAATCATTGCCAAATCCAATGACATGAAGCTTTCTGCGTTTGACTTTTAATTGGGCTCGGCACCTGTACCACAGGCCACATGCACCACAGCTGGCAGGTTCAAACTCCACCCAGGCCAGCTAAACAGCAATGACAATTGCAACCAAAAAATAGCTGGGCATTTTTTGGCAGGTGCCTGTATTCCCAGCTACTTGGGAGGCTGAGGCAAGAGAATTGCTTAATCCCAAGAGTTTGAGGTGCTGTGAGCTGTGATGCCATAGCACTCTACCCAGGGCAACATAGTGAGACTCTATCTCAAAAAAAAAAAAAAAGTTCTTTTTTTGTTCTTTTTTAAAAAACGTTTTGTTTTTAATTGACACATAATAAGTGTACATATTTACAGGTTTATTTAACTTTTAAGCAGCTGCATAATTTTATAGTCTGTCAGTAATGTGCAGAGGTTCCAGTTCCTCCCCATCCTCTCAAACATTTGTTTTGAAATTTTTTTTTTTTTTTTTTTTGGCTAGTTGATTGTTTATTTTGAGACAGGGTCTCACTTATTGCCCAGACTGGTCTTTTAACTCCTGCACTCCAGAGATCCTCCTGCTTTAGCTTCCTGAATAGCTAGTAATAGGCGTGTGCCGCTGTACTGGCTTGGTTGGTACTTTGTTTTTCTTTCTTAGGTAATAGCGATCCTAGTGGATGTGATGTGTTACATCCTTGAGGTTTTGGGTGGCACTTCTTTGGCTAATAATGTTGAGCATCTTTTCATGTGCTTATTGGTTACTATGTAGTATCTTCTTTGGAAAAATGTCTTTCGGGATTCCTTGTCTATGTTCAGAATTGGACTATTTGCTTATTTTTATTCTGTTGTAGGGATTCTTTATGTATTTTGTATCAGATACATGTTTGCAGAAGATTTTCTCCCGTTTTTGTGTGTTATCTTTTTACTTTCTTGATGATGTCCTTTGAAGCATCATTGTTTTCTGTTTATTTATTTAATTAATTTCTTTTTGAGACAGAGTCTCACTCAGTTGCCCTGAGGTTGAGTGCCGTGGCGTCATAGCTCAAGCAACCTCAAACTCTTGGGCTCAAGTGATTCTTTTGCCTCAGCCTCCCAAGTAGCTGTGACTACAGGTGCCTGCCAGAGCACCTGGCTATTTGTTTTTTTTAGAAATGGGGTCTTGCTCTTCATGCTGGTCTCCAACTCCTGAGCTCAAGCCATCCACCCACCTCAGCCTCCCAGAGTGCTAGGATTACAGGTGTGAGCAACTGATGATGTCACATTTATCCATGTTTTCCTTTGGTTACTTGCCTAATCTAAAGCCATAGAGATTAATATGTGTGTGTGTTTCTAGGAATTGGATAGTTTTAGAGATCCTTAATGGCGTGATCTATTTTTTGTATGTGCTGTTGGGCAGGGTTCAACTTTTCTCTTCTGTGTGTGGGTGTCGGATTTTTCCAGCACCCTTTGTAGGAACTGTACTGTTTTCCTACTGAGTTGTCTTCAGACCTATGTTGATAATCAATTGACTGTAACTATGAAGGTTTACTTCTGGACTCGAAATTTTTTTTTATTTATTTAAAAATGTCTTATAGAAGCAGGATCCTACCACCTCAGATTCCCTCGTAGCTGGGACTAGAGGCACAGGCCCCTGTGCTTGGCTTGAACTCTACATTCTGTTCCATCCATCTGCGTGTCTGTCCATGTGCCAGTAGCACATGGTCTTGATACCACAGTTTTGTAATATCTGTGTTTTTTTTTTCTTTTTAAGTTAAATGTTGTTTGGTTGGTGCCTGTGGCTCAAAGGAGTAGGGTGCTGGCCCCAAATGCTGGAAGTGGTGGGTCAAACCCAGCCCCAGCCAAAAACTGCAAAAAAAAAAGAAAAAAGAAAAAAATTAAGTGTTCTTTGTTGTTTGTATGTAGAAATTAATTTTATTTTATTTATTTATTTTTGAGACAGTGTCTCACTGTGTTGCTGTTGGTAGAGTCCTGTGGCGTCACAGCTCACAGCAACTTCAAACTCTTGAGCTTAAGTGATTCTTTTGCTTCAGCCTCCCAAGTAGCTGGGACTACAGGTGCCCACCATATCACCCGGCTACCAGCTATTTTTTGTTGCAGGTGTCATTGTTGTTTAGCAGGCCCTGGCTGGGTTCAAACCCACCAGCCCCAGTACATGTGGCTGGTACCCTAACTGCTGAACTACAGGTGTGGAATCCAGAAATTCATTTTACTTTCATATCTTACATTGATCTTTTATCTAACCACTTATAATTCTGTGGTGTGTTCATGCATTTTTTTCTATAGGTAATTTTGGATTTCTCTTAAGGGATTATTTATAAATTATGACAGCTTTGCTTTTTATTTCCAATCTTTCTTTTCTTTTCTTTTTTTTTGTTTGTTTTTTGGGACTGACTCTATTGCCCTGGTATTATCATAGGTCACAGCAACCTCAAACTTTTGGGATCAGGCCTCCCTCTTGCCTCAGTCTCTTGAGCAGCTGGGGCTGCAGGTGCCCCACCACAGCACCTGGCTAATCTTTTCTGGTTTTTTTTTTAGTAGAGATGGGGTCTCCTTCTTGGTCAGGCTGTTCTCAAACTCCTGCGCACAAGCAGTCCACCAGTCTCAGGCTACTGGAGTACTAAGATTACAGGTGTGAACCACTGTACCGGGCCCCAATCTTTGTATTTTTTAAGTTCCTACTGGGCTTTGTCAGAACTTCTAGAACCGTAGTAAATAAAAGCAGTGATAGTAAAATTGTTTGTTTGAAGCTGATCATTTCACACTTCACACAAAGTGTGAGGTTTGCTGTGGGTTTCTCACGAATTGTTTTTCTCAGCCTAAGAATATTTTTTTCTTCTTCTTAGTTGGCTTGGAGGTTTTATGCTTCAAGAAGTTTGAATGTTATCATTTACTTTTTCCATATCTATTAAGATGGTCATTTTTTTCCTTTAACTCTGAAGATAGTGAATTTTACTAGTCAGTTTTCTAAGGTTAACTCAGTATTTTATTTCTACAGTGAAGTCAAGTTGACATGGTCTCAACCTGGTAATTGTTGGTACATTATTGGATTCAGTTTGGTAATATTTTGTTTAGGTATTTTGCATCTGTGATCATGTACGAATTTGTCATTTTCCTTCCTCTTGACTGGTTTGGGACATAACATGTTATGGTGACCTCATAGAATGAGTTGAGAAGTTTGTCCCTCTTCTCTAGAATAGTTTGTGTAAGGTTGAAAATATTTGCTCCTTGAATGTTTGCTGTTTATATGATGTGTTACAATATAAGTGGACTCTTTTTTTTTTTAAATTATTTTATTTTATTTTATTTATTTATTTATTTTGGTCAGTTTTTGGCTGGGGCCGGGTTTGAACCTGCCACCTCCGGTATATGGGGCTGGCACCCTACTCACTGAGCCACAGGCACCACCCAAGTGGACTCTTTAACGTACAGATATGGGATATACTTTTGACCTTGTGGAGTGAGACTGTAGAAGAGGGCATTTTTGTTTTGTTTTTGAGGCCCAGGCTACCGTGCAGGAGCATGATCGTAGCTCGCTGAAGCCTCGAATTCCTGGGTTCCAGCAGTCTTCCTGCCTCAGCCTCCTGAGGAGCTGGGACTATAGGCATGTCACATGTGCTCCTGTGCCTAACTTTTAACTTTTGTGTAGAGATAGGGTCTTGCTATATTGCAAGACTCACCTCAGCCTCCCAAAGTGCTGGGATATTACAGGCCTAAGGAGCTACTGTGTCCAGCCAGGAAGAGGGTGCTTGAATCATTGCATGTTCGCAATTTGTAATTTCTTTACTATTCACTAGTCAAGTGTTACATTGTAGCTGTAATTATTCATTTGACTCTAGCAGTGAGTAATAAAATTCTTCTCACACAGATGAGCAGTTGGAGGGAGAGCTATGGAATATGCCTTTACCGTTTTTCTAATGCTGTAGACAGAAAGACAGTGTTTCCTACATGGAGAATAATTAGATTTCTGTTTATCTTGCAGAAGTGATAGACCTTACTCATGATAACAAAGATGATCTTCAGGCTGCCATTGCTTTGAGTCTCCTGGAGTCCCCCAAAATTCAAGCTGATGGAAGAGATCTTCACAGGTTATTGAATTAATTTATAATCTTGCTCCCCACATTTGTGTGTAGGTCAAAGGCAGTGCCACTCAGGAATAATTCTACCAGGCTCTGTTAATGGCACCTCAATGAAATTTCTTTTAGAGGAAACTTTGAGTTCACATTAGCCTACTTAATCTTTGATGCCCTTTTGACAAAGACAAAAATAAAGGGGTCTTACTATAGCCTGAATGTTTGATTAGAAGTCTATAAGGTTTTGGGGTTCACAATTTTTAAGGGGGAAGAACACAACCATTCCAAGTATTTGATAAATGCATCTTCCCTTTGCAAACTTTGAGGCTTATGCTGTTGCGGACTGCTAGATGAAAGTTAACATTCAACTTTCCTACTCAGAAGTGACCAGGAGATACATTTTTTATTTTTTATTATTATTATTATTTTTTTTTTGAGACAGGAGCCTCAAGCTGCCCCCCTGGGTATAGTGCCGTGGCATCTCAGTTCACAGCAACCTCCAACTCCTGGGCTCAAGAGAGTCTCCTGCCTCTGACTCCCAAGTAGCTGGGACCACAGGTGCCCACCACAACGCCCGACTATTTTTTGGTTGCAGCCATCATTGTTGTTTGGCAGGCCCAGACTGGATTCGAACCCACCACCTTGGGTGTACATGGCTGGCGCCTTAGCCACTTGAGCCACAGGCGCCACCGAGATACATTTTTTTAATTGGTACTAATTTAGTGACCGGTACTGAACACAACATCCTGATCCAGGGGGCCTGTCAGTTTCTGGATGTGTTTATTTCCTCACTCTGCGGAGGCATTTCTTTCGGGGAAGCGTAGGGCCATGTTTTGTGGGCTGGGCAATTTGAGGCTCCCATCTTGAGCACAGTGTCTCTCTTGCCCCTGTCAGTGTCAGAGATCTAAAACTTTTAATATGGTTGCCTTAAGTAGTCTTGAGTCTCAACTCAGTTCTATCATACAACTTCAAAGCAATAATCTCTGTTATGGAAGATTAAGATGTATATGTTTAAACCTTGATTTTCATTTATATTATAATCTTATAGTTACTATATACCCAATGATTGCCCAGTAAATAGGTTGTTTTTTTTTTTTGAGACAGAGTCTTAGTATTCCACCCTTGGTAGAGTGCTGTGGCATCACAGCTCATAGCAACCTCCAATTTCTGGGCTCAGACACTTCTCCTGCCTCTGCCTCCCAAGTAGCTGTGACTACAGGCACCCGCTACAACACCTGGCTATTTTTTGGTTGCAACCATCATTGTTTGGCAGGTGCAGGCTGGATTCGAACCCGCCAGCTCAGGTGTATATGGCTGGTGCCTTAGCTCCTTGAGCCACAGGCGCCGAGCCCTGGCTGTTTTCTTATTGCAGTTGTCATTGTTTAGCTGGCCCAGGGCCGGGCTTGAACCTGGCAGCCTTGGTGCATGTGGCTGGTGCCGTAACCACTGTGCTTCAGTGCTGAGCCCTCTCGTAAATAGTTTTTCTGGCATTTTGAATTACTATATAGTACACATACCTTGTTTTTTTAATCTTTTTTTTTATGTATATTGGCATAATATAGGATGCACGAGCCAACCTCTGTAGAAACTAAGCGCTCAAAGAGAAAACGCTGTGAAGTTTGGGGAGAAAATCCCAACCCCCATGACTGGAGGAGAATTGATGGTTGGCCGGTTGGGCTGAAGAACGTTGGCAATACCTGCTGGTTTAGCGCCGTTATTCAGGTATGGTATTTTATGGGACAACTGTGATATCAGGAAGTAACATGTAGCTGATTAAACTGAAATGTGAAAGACATAGAAAATTAAAAACAGTTATCTAAAACTGGGAGCATTTTCCCTTTGGTGTTATTGCGCTTTGGATTAGATGTTCCGATGTCTACACTAGGCAATACTGAAAACAAAATCCTCTGTGGTTGTACATTTACGAATATGTGTTTTGTTTTGTTTTTTGAGACTGAGTTTCACTCTGTTGCCCTGGGTACAGTGCCTTGGCATTATCATAACTCACAGCAACCTCAAATTCTTGGGTTTAAGCAATCCTCTTATCTCAGCTCCCAAGTAGCTGGGACTATAAGCACCCGCCACAACACCCGGCTATTTTTTTGTTGTGGTTGTCATTGTTGTTTTAGCTGGCTGGGCTGGGTTCAAACCCACCAACCTTGGTATATGTGGCTGGCTATGGCTAGTGCTATGGGCGGCAAGCCTACTCTTTTTTTTTTTTGATCAATATAATTTAAGCGTGCTATGGAAGTTTAACTGTACGTTCAGGTGTGCTGTGAGATAAAAATGGTTGAAAAACACTGACCTAGAGAGCGAGTGGCCTCTAGAAGTAACTCTGGGCACTTTACACTTCACTGGGCCTCAGTGTAGCCCCTAGAACTCCACCCTGCAGTCTTCCCCAGCAGGGTATATGGGATCAACTCAAGCTGAAAAATGGAATCTTCCCTTTCTGTGCAATACAGCAGGCAACTTCTATGCATCAGGCACTGTTTTAGGCGCTAGGTAAATAGCAATAAATAAAACAAAGCACGTGGTCTCATGCGTTTACTTTGAAAAGAGTATCCCAGACGATAAACAGAACACATGTCAGGTGGTAGTAAGTGTTGTCAGGGTGAAGAAGGGTGGGGGGCTCCAGAGGGTTCACCCAGGGAGAGGGTGGCTGTGGACAGCCTTGCTTGATAAGGCAGGCACTTGGCTGGAGGTGGCCAGAGATTGAGCCGTATAGTTACAGAAGGAACATTCTGACCAAGGGGACAGCCAGTATAAAGACTGAGGTTCAGGGGCTTTGCTGATAATGTTTGGGAAATTGCAAGACATATGGAACTGAGTGATCCAGAACCAAGAGCCAGGACTTGAGAAGGGTGGGGAAGGGGGAGGGAGGAGCTTGGGATTGTGATGAGGATCTGGGAATTGTACGCGACCTGGGAAAGTGTCTGTCGGAAGATTTGGAGCAGGAAGTGATACGATCCCACTTCCATTTTAAAAGGATCATTGGCATTCACGTTGAGAGTAGAATGTAGGAAGATAGTGTTGGATTAGGAACACGAGTCAGTTCTTTCCTATGTGACAGGAGAGAGAGAGAGAGAGAAAGAGAATGAGAACCCTCCTTGGATTTGCATCACCTTCCCCACCTTTATTCCTATGGAGACATTGAGAGGAGCTGGCAGACCCAGAAGATGCCTGGGAAAGGTTTCTGAGACAGCACGAGAGGGCAGGGTGGGGAGCACGTGGCCCTGACAAGGAGAGGGGCAAGGCAGCATGGGAAGGGAGGAGGAGGAAAGGATGGCTGTACATTGAACTGAAATAGTGTGTACATGCTCTTTTTTTTCTCTGAGATATAAGCAGCCATCTTTTGAGACAGAGTAGCAGAGTCAGATTTTAAAGGGAGTAAAAATCTGAAATGGTTGTTGGGAACAGTGGAATACCAGTCAGCACTAGGGCACAATCAATAGTAGGGTTACTAAACATTCCACGGTCGGCTTGAGGCTCGTGACTTTAGGTATATAGTGATGTCAGAATGTTCTGTGTTTTTTTTTTCAGGACTTTATCTTAGTAGCACTCTAAAACTCATACATGGAAAATTCAACTCCCTTAGGTTGTGGGATTTGCTGAGTGTGTGATGAAAGTGCAAAGGGAAGTCTGAGAATTTAACAAAGATCGTTAAGACCGTAGGATCAAAGCAAGATCGAGAGAAATAAAGACATGAAGGAACTAATGGTTAAGGAGCAAGGAAAAGAGGCCTTGGTTTGCTTGGGTCCCTGCTGAAGTCAGATGACAGGTGTCCTTTTGGCTTTGGACACCCAAGTCAGAAGTTAGGGTCCGAGAGTGGGGTTTTCTGAATGTGTGACCTGAGAATCAGCACATGTCAGGTGTTGACCTGCCCTGGGTACGGCCTGGGCTGGAAGAATAGGCCACTAGAGATGAGATGATAAGAAGCCCAGAGGTTTCCTTTGCACACAGTTGAACGCCTACTTCATGTCTAGCAGTGTTCTAGGACCTTGATGTAGAAGTCAGTAATGCAAAGGCAGCTGTGACCGCATGGGACCTACCTTCTCCGGGGGTGAGCTAGACCCTGAACTGGAAAGCTAACCAGTGATCCGCTGTGTGGCACATGAGTTGGTGGAGGAATTTCTGGAGGCATGGGGACCATGCACAGTGATTCCAGCGAGCAGTGATGGGCACCAACGCTGGGTGGTCATAGAGAGCCCCCAGAGGCAAAGAGGCCAAGGGATTTATGACTTACTGGATGGCAATGGTTAAGAAAGGAAAGAGTCAGAGATTATTCTGACACTCAGGCTTTGATGGCGGGAGGAGGAGGATGTAATTAAGTGACGCAGAGAACACAGAAGCAGCAGCTGTTGGAGGAAGAGCCATATTGCTGATGGGTGGGAAGTGTGCATAATAATAGCTCACACTTTGTTGGTTTTTAAGAATAATGGCATCTTTGGGGAGAGGCCAGATTTTGGTAAAGGTTAAGAGGTGGAGTGAAGTGACCGTAAAGCCGTTTCTTCATGGTAGAACGGAAACTCTTGGCAGATGCTCTAGGGCGGCCAGCAGCGTGGGAGTGGAGATGCCTGGTGGGAAGAGAAGGGAGTGGCTGAGGATGGAGCTGACCGCCCTGTCCTGACTCACACAGAACTTCAGTGCAGTATCGTGACCTGGTTTTTTAATTTCCATTTCAGTTGAACAATCACCTGTTGCTGGGGCCACCAGGGCTTGTGACAGAGTGAGGGAAGCTGGAGAGGTGGCATGTGGGCTCTGGCCAGATGCTGTCACTTTGATTATACCTGGGGCTTGTGAATACCAACACGAGTATTTTATTTAGTGCCGACTTCAGAGTTTTGCCACTGTCTACATGGAATGGTGCTTTAAGAATTTCAGCATGTAGGCTTGAGGAGTTTTTTCATTTGAGAAGTATGTTGGTTGGGATGAGGAGTTATGTTCACGTAAGGGGTATTTAAAAAATTAGCTTAGGTATTTGTAGTACGAAAATGTGTGATTCACAGATAATAAGAAGACTCCTTCTCCCTACTTCTGCCTGTTAGAGGGGTCTATTTTTTAACTTTTAAAAATGCAGTATTTATGGCAAAGAGTAGGGAATGGTAAATATTTCTGTACCCAGCTTAAAAAGTAAATGTGACAAATTCCTGTGCTTTTGAGTCCCTCTTGTCACAGTCTTCCCCCCTCACCGAGAGAACCACATATATATGTCTCCCCAAACAACATACAGTAGCTTTGTATCGCATTAAACTTAATATAAACAGTATGATACTCTATTTTTCCAACTTTTTTTCACTCAAAATATATTTCTCGAATTTTTTTTTTTTTTTTTTTTTTTGAGACAGAATCTCACTTTATCGCCCTCAGTAGAGTGCCGAGGCGTCACACTTCACAGCAACCTCCAGCTCCTGGGCTTAGGCGACTCGCTTGTTCAGTTTCCCAAGTAGCAGGGACTACAGGCTCCCACCACGATGCCCGTCTGTTTTTTTGTTGTTGTTGGAGTTTGGCTGGGGTCAGGTTTGAACCTGCCACCCTCAGTATATGGGGCCGGCGCTGTGCTCACTGAGCCACAGATGCCACCCATATTTCTGGAATGTATTAGCGTTGATATACATAGCTCTTGTTCATTGTCTCTTTTTTTTCTTTTGAGATAGAGTCTTACTTTGTTGCCCCAGGCTACAGTTCTGTGGTGTTACTGTAGCTCACAGCAACCTCAGACTCCTTGATTCGAGTTGCCCTCTTGCCTCAGCTTCCCAAGTGGCTGGGACTACATGTGCCTGGCTAATTTTTATTTTTATTTTTATTTTTAATGGAGATGGAGTCTGGCTCTGGTCTTGAACTCCTGAGGTCAAGGGATCCTCCTATTTCGCCCTCCCAAAGTGCTAGGATTATAAGAATAAGCCATCACAGCTGGCCTCTTGTTCATTTTTCATTCTAGTTCATTATAAGAAACACATTTTCCAAAATCCTATATTACTAATAGTCTATTCTGTGAATGTGGTATCGTTTATTTAATCTATTCCTTTTGTTAAATATTAGGTTGCTTCTGTTTTTTACCTAAAAGGATTAATATTCTTTCATTTTAATTTTTGTATATAACCATTATTATTAGCTTAGAAATAACAGATTTGCTAGGTTGACAGGTATACATACTTTGAAATATGAAGGGAAAAAATACTTAATGTGAAATAAACTTTTTTTTCCTGCAGTCAGTTTTAAAGGAAAGCTCTGAATCCGTGTCTTTGTTTATTTCAGTCACTCTTTCAATTGCCTGAATTTCGAAGACTTGTTCTCAGCTATAATCTGCCACAAAATGTCCTTGAAAATTGTCAAAGTCACACGGTAAGTTGGTGCTGAGCCATGTTTTCAGTGTTGGTTGGGCCTTTTCATCTCAAAGCCCTCTATATTTTTGACTAAAGCTGATAATCGTTATGTTCTTTGGCTTGTGCTGATTTTTCTTTTCATTTCTAAATGACTCTTTTTCCTTCTTTCTGACAAGAAATAAGGGTTTGCAATAATATAAAATTAGAAAAATGCTTCTGAGGAAGTGTAGGTAGGGGACTCCGATACCTGTTTAGTGTTCATGGTGTCCTTCCCTCTTCCTGCTGCCCAGGAAGGCCCAGTGATGCAGAAGGTGACCCAGTGCCAGGGGCCTGGGCTTTATTTGGACAGAAATGAGTTTGTTCTTGCCAGAGGTAACCACTGCCTTTCAGTGGTACTTCCCAGGATCTCACCTGGATGTGCAGTGCATTTTCCTCATTGGAATACAGGCAGCAGTTTGAAAAAGTGAGCATTCTAGGCTGGGCATGGTGGCTCACGCCTGTAATCCCAGCACTCCAGGAGTCTGAGGCAGGTGGATTGCCTGAGCTCACAGGTTGAAGACTAGCCTGAGCCAGAGCGAGACCTTGTCTCTAAAAATAGGTGGGCATTATGGTGGGCGCCTATAGTTGGGAGGCTGAGGCAAGAGGATCACTTGAGCCCAAGAGTTGGAGGTAGCTGTGACGCCACGGCACTCTACCAGGAGTGACAAAGTGAGACTGTCTCAAAAAAAAAAAAAAAGCGAACACTCTGTTTTTCCAAAATGTTTTATCATCATCTCTCTGGCTCCTACATAGTTATTCTTTTTTTTGGCAGTTTTTGGTCGGGGCTGGGTTTGAACCCGCCACCTCTGGCATATGGGGCCGGCGCCCTACCCTTTTGAGCCACAGGCGCTGCCCCATAGTTATTCTTCAGTTTAACCCTCTCTGCAGTCCTTATTTATCAGAGTCCCTATAGCATAGTCTGAGACCTGCTTCTGACCTACACCGAGCTACATATAAATTAGGGAGTAATTATTGACAGTTTTTCTCTTTACGTGTTCTCATTTTCCAAGTAAGAGTAAGTGCTGTGTTTTCTATAGGATAAGAGGAATATCATGTTTATGCAAGAGCTTCAGTATTTGTTTGCTCTGATGATGGGATCAAATCGAAAATTTGTAGACCCTTCGGCAGCCCTGGATCTGCTAAAGGGAGCATTCCGATCATCCGAGGAACAGCAGGTACAAAAGGAGCTTCGTTCTTCTCTTGTCCCCTCAAACGTTGAAGTCACGCCTTATTAATGTCACCAAGGTGATGCTTTGTCTCTGCTGTGTAGCTTGTGAACAAGGCTAAGCAGGACTGCGGGGGCCTGGTTTTGCCTTGTATTTTGCCAACAGAACAGGTGGTGAGAGAGGGAGCGTGTGTGTTCAGGAGAGAAGGAGAGAGAGTGTGTCTGTGTATGAGAGAGAGAGAGAGAGAGAGAAAGGGAGAGTGTGTGTATGTTGCACTGGGCGGTAGCAGTCCTAAAGAGAGGACGAAATAGTAAACAGGATAATAGACTTTTACCGGGGCTATTGAAATAGAAGGAAGGAGATTGGAAAAGATCTCAGTGCGCCATTGCACAGTGTCACCAGGAAATGCGTCCCCTGCACCTTTGCCTTGCGATGGCCCAGGTGGAAATCCTGTTTTTAAAATTAAACATGAGTTCAGCTGCTTTTCTGAGCAGCCTTTTTCTTGTCCACTTTCCTTTCTCCACCTCCTAGTATTGAGCAAAGCTGTCACTGTTATATTTTCTTCCTTCCCCGTATAAATTTTTAAATTCTTTGCCCTTTCTAAAGGTCCTACAGTTCTACAAAATTCTCAGGACATTTCACGAAAGTTTTCTTTCTCTATTTAGAGCTCATATTCCAGAAAACTGCAGTCTGTTTGGGGGACATTTTTCCCAAAAGGCTTAATTGGAAGCTTTTGTTTGTTTTTCCTTCTCTGTCATAAATAGATGTGGCTGGGAGTGGTAGAGTTTCAGTTTCCTGCTGGCCGCAACTTACTCAGAGGTCAGCTCCTGTGCGTTCTGTTTTATCTGTAGTAGCTGAGTTCCAGTGTTCCTGTGTCTTCCTCTTTGGCCCTATTCAAGAAATGCTTTTCATTAAGTAGAATCTCAATTCATGGGTGGGAAAAGGCAGGTTTTTATTTCCCTAAGTGTAGTGTTGGTTCTAACTCTTATGCAACTTGTGCCTCTCCTACAGCAAGATGTGAGTGAATTCACACACAAGCTCCTGGATTGGCTGGAGGACGCGTTCCAGCTGGCTGTTAATGTGAAGTGAGTGTCCAGGGTTTGTTTGAACGTCCTTCCAACTCACACTGTACCAGCGAGAATTACAACAGCAGGGAAAGTTAACGCTTCTCAAATAGAAATGGCTGGGTTTTGCCAAACTTCGTGGGGTAACCACAGAGTTATTCCTCATATGCAGGCGTCCTCTAACTACGGCCCGTGGACCACATGCAGCCCGCCTAGGACATTTATCTGGCCCGCCGGCTGTCTTTGCCACTGCTACCTGCCCTGCTTAGCAGCCGACTCATCCCGGGGCCCACAGTCCGGCCCTCCAGCAGTCTAAGGGACAGTGAACTGGCCCCCTGTTTAAAAAGTTTGAGGACCCCTGCTCATATGTGTCTCCATTGCCTGTGGCTTTCCCCCTCTAATGATGTAGCTGATCATCTTAACCAGCAGCTTTTTTACTAAGAGGGCCATAAGGGTTAACTTTGTTGATGTATATGCTGTACATTTTTTTTGTGTATGAGACAAGACTCTCACTATGTTGCCCTTGGTAGCTCTGGCATCACAGCTCACAGCAACCTCTTAGACTTAAGCAATTCTCTTGCCTCAGCCTCCCTAGTAGCTGGGACTATAGGCACCCGTCACAACGCCTGGCTGTTTTTTTGTTGCAGTTGTCATTGTTGTTTAGCTGGCCCACGCTGAGTTTGGACTTGCCAGCCTTGGTGTATATGGCTGGTGCCCTGTCCACTGAGCTATGGGTGCTGCCCCAATTTTTTTTTTTTTTTGGGAACGGTCAGGCCAGGCATGGTGGCTCTCTCCTATAATCCTAGTACTCTAGGAGGCCCCAGGTGGGAAGATTGCTGTAACTCAGGATTTCGAGTTCAAGACCAATAAGAGCAAGACCCTATCTCTACTAAAACTAGGAAAATTAGCCAGGTGTTGTGGTGGGCACGTATCATCACAGCTATGTGGAAGGCTGAGCAGGAGGATGGCTTGAGCCCAGGAGTTCGAGGTTGCCTTGAGCTTGGCTGAGGCCATGGCACTGTAGCCTGGGTGACAGAGCAAGGCTCTGTCTCAAAAAAAAAAAAGAAAGAAAGAAAAAAAGGCAAATCAACCATAGATGTGAACATGGTGGTATAATATAGATACATTTAATTTAAGACCACTTTTGAAATCAACTTAGAATGTGCATATGGTAGGCTTTAATCATTTCAGTCACTAATAAAAATGAAATTTCGGGCAAAGAATACATATATGCCTTGCCTAACACAGATGCTAAGAAGTTTTCTAAATAGTTTTCATTCTAGGTAGAAGAATGATGTATCATAAACGAGCTTTGCAGATAGCAGTAACTTAATAATAATTTAAGGGGGGCTAGTGAAAAAATAACTATTTTCATTCCATTTGTATCGTGCCACTGGGAAAACATTTTTGTATTTATTTGCAAATCTGCACGACAGAGTTCATTCCCATCTCTGTACTATTGCCGTAACACACATACATCTGTCATTGGATGTAGATGTATATATTGAACAAGATAATACGTGTATTTGCTATGTGTGTAGCTCCCTAAGGCCAGGGATCCTGCCTTATTGTCTCTGCATCTTCAGGGTTTAGCTCAGTGCCAGGCATAGAATTGTTCACCAGATGTTTGAACTGCATTTATCTGCTACTAAGTTTAAACCATACCTGGCTCTCTGGGGTTGATAAACATGTACAGTTTTTGCCTTCTGGATGATACTTTGATTTCATGTAATGCATGTCTTATCCAGATGATCCAGAATTGTCTCCCTTTCTCAAAAGCAGCAATCCCAGGAACAAATCCGAAAACCCAATGGTGCAGCTGTTCTATGGTACTTTCCTGACCGAAGGGGTTCGTGAAGGTAAATTCTCGGCTCTGATTGTTGACCTGTGAGCACATCTATGTTACTGTGTCGCCTTGAGGAGATGCCATAACAAGCAGCCTGAGAGTCAGACAAACCCGGGTCTCAGTTTTGGTTCTGCCTCTTAGTATCTGTTTGATTATGAATAAACTCTGTGAGTTCCAGAATCCTCAGCGTCTTCATCTGTGAAATGTGTGTGATCTTTATCTCAGAGTAGTCATATTAAATTGTTTAATACTGAGCACACGGTAATGTTTGTTAATCAGTTTTCTCTGTGTTTCTGAGGTTATATCTAATCTCAAAAGGTTTTATTGTGTTAGACGGCCACAGATGTTTGTATACTCTAGAGGCTTATCTAAGCAGCATATTAGACACATGATTTTTTTTTTTAACTGTAGAGAATTTTGACCACATACTAAAAACAATATAAAACTCTCCAGGGGCCAGGCGCGGTGGCTCACACCTGTAATCCTAGCACTCTGGGAGGCTGAAGTAGGAGGATTGCTTGAGGTCAGAAGTTTGAGACCATTCTGACCAAGAGCGAGACTTCTCTACGAAAAGTAGAAAAATTGAGGATGGTGGTGGACACCTGTTGTCCCTGCTACTTGAGAGGCTGAGGCAGGAGTTTGGGGTTGCAGTGAGCTATGATGATGCTACTGTCCTCCAGCCAAAATGACAGAGTGAGATTCTGTCTTAAGAAAATAAACAATCGGCTTGGCACTCATAGCTCAGCAGCTAGGGCGCCAGCCACATACACCAAGGCTGGCAGTTTCGAGTCTGGCCCTGCCTGCTAAATAACAATGACAACTGCAGCCAAAAAATAGCTGGGCCTTGTGATGGGCACCTGTAGTCCCAGCTACATGGGAGGCTGAGGCAAGAGAATGGCTTAAGCCCAAGAGTTTGAGGTTGCTGTGAGCTGTGATGCCACAGCACTCTTATCGAGGGCACCATAGTGAGACTCTGTCTCAAAAAAAAAAAAAAAAAAGATTTAACCAGCTTCCCATTGATAGCCTTTTTTTCCCCAAAGAGATAGAGACACTGTCTCAAACCAAAAAAAAAAAAGGACCAATCATGAGCCAGCAACTGTTATTAGTCTGTAGCCATTCATTCCCTGCCTCCATCCTGTCTACTCATACCCTCTGATATTCCTTATAAAACACAACTCAGTACTACTACCACTCTAGAAAACCATGTTTTAAAATATCCTGTCAAATTTCCAATTTGTTTACACAATTTAAAACAGAATTTATTTTTGCAGTTTGTTTTAGTCAGGATCCAAGTATACTTCATTGGTGCCTGGCTGGTACATCTTTTAAGTCCCTTGAATGTCTGTGGAGACGACTCCTTCATCCTTTTCTCCTTAAAATGTAGTGTTTTTTTTTTTCCCAGAAACTGGTTTTTATTCGTGTGTTTTTTTTCCACAGTCTAAAATTTTGTTGCTTGCATTTTCACAATACTTATTCACTATATTTTGGCATGCATATATACTGATGATTAGAGCTCGAAATTTGACTAGATTCAGGTAAACTAGAGGTTTTTTTGGTAAAACTAAGTTATAGATGGTAGAAGAGTCTTTGATCAAGAGACACATAATGTGTGATTTTCTTTCTTTTTGCAGTGTTAGCTCTTTTTTTTTTTTCTTGTTGAGACTGAGTCTCACTCTTTGACCCTCGGTAGAGTACCGTGGCACCATCACAGCTCACAGCAACCTCAAACTCTCAGGCTCAAGTGATCTTCTTGCTTCAGCCTCTGGAGTAGCTGGGACTTACAGGTACCTGGCTAGTTTTTTTTCTATTTTTTTTTATTAGAGATGGGTTCTTGCTCTTGCTCAGACTGGTTTCAAACTCCTGAGCTCAGGCAATCCTCAGCTTCCCAGAGTGCTAGGATTACGGGCCTGAGCCACACCTCGCCTGGTCAGCGTTAGTGGTTGTTGACGGTCAGCGCCTGGATCCACCACCTCATTAGAAGTTGCCATATAGGTTGAACCAGTTCTCAGGAAGTTGCTGAATTTAAGAAGATACTTCCTGTGTGATGCCAGAAAATAGGCATTTGATAGATGTAATGATTTACATCTTTGAAAATCAGTCTCTCTGTTTTTCTAGGAAAGCCCTTTTGTAACAATGAGACCTTTGGCCAGTATCCTCTTCAGGTAAATGGTTATCGCAACTTAGACGAATGTTTGGAAGGGGCCATGGTGGAGGGTGACATTGAGCTGCTTCCCTCAGATCACTCGGTCAAGTACGGACAAGAGGTAAGATGGATGCTTTTACCTGCTGTGCTAATGACACAGCCAGTTAAGGACCGAGCTCTTAGGCAGAGCTCTTAGGCAGATGTGTTTCCCATCCCCTATCAAGTAACTTTACATTTAAAAAAGAACTTGAATTTGTCTTAAGTCTCTCCTGAGTTGATGTGAGGTGAGTCTTAGTGTTTTGATAAATAAATCCTTTACTAAAACTATGAATTTGAGTCAGTCATGTAAAGGTTGTGTGCTGCTTCTGATGTTTTAAGTATGATCAAGTTTCTCTCTTTCTGTTGAAGCCGACCCGTACCTGAGTAGGGAGAGCCCACTGCCTCCATATTTTCGGAGGGTAAAAGTACAGTGATTAACTCCTATGGTATGCCATTCAGAATATTTTCCCTATTATAGTCCTTACTGTTCTCGATTGTAAATTCTGCCTTTGCTTTTAACATTTTTAAAATTTAATTTTCACTTCTTTATTATACCTTTGTGGGTTGGAAAGAAAGGGGGGAAGTTAGAGGGAGAGCAAGGGCAGTTAATATCTGAGAATTCCACTTGGGTTAAGAATTAGGGAGTAGCATTATAGCTGAATTGTTAACCCTACACAGTTTGGACTGTCCTCCTTTTGTCATATATTCTGAGATGAAACTGTGGCTTTTCTGAAAATCTAACTCAGTGATTTTTGTAGACAAGGATCGTTTTCTTGAATTAAAATAGGGAGCTTAACATGAGCCTGGTGGAAGTATTTTAGCTGTAGAGCAGTGTTGGAACTCGGAGCTGCTGCCTCCCTGGCTTTTCTTTTCTTTTTTTTTTTTTTTTTGAGACAGAGCCTCAAGCTGTCCCCCTGGGTAGAGTGCCGTACCATAACAGCTCACAGCAACCTCCAACTCCTGGGCTCAAGCAAGTCTCCTGCCTCAGCCTCCCAAGTAGCTGGGACCACAGGCGCCCGCCACAACGCCCAGCTACTTTTTGGTTGCAGCCGTCATGTTATTTGGCAGGCCCGGGCTGGATTCGAACCCGCTACCCTAGATGTATGTGGCTGGTGCCTTAGCTGCTTGAGCCACAGGTGCCGAGCAGCCTCCCTAGCTTTTCAAGGAGAGAGCCAGTTGCTAATGGGCAGCGGATTGTCTATACCGTCTGTGAACCTATATACGTTCTCTGTGTTACGGGAGACAGGGAAGGTTCACTAGCTATTTGGACCTCTGGAGACCTGCATTCAAGGGTGGGGACTCCTTATAAAAATAAAGCTAAAGCAAATAAAATCATCATGCCTAAGAGTGAGCCCTGAGGTAGTCAAACAGGCTATCTGAGTTCGCCTCATTGTGCGGACAGGGTATCTGGAGAGAATGCTGTTCGCCCCTTTGGTAAAGGGAACATTTTAAAGCTCTTCACAGGCGCCTCTGGTGAGCAGGTGAATTGGACAGAAAGGCCTTTGCTGGTTTAGGTTTTTTTCATCTAGGATCAGTGACAGTTGAAATCTTTAGTATAAGTCAAAGTAACATTGTAGGTTGATTTCACTGATGACATTATGAGACAATTATGTAAATTCTTGGCATTTAGAGATTTTTCTCAGAAACTCGAGAAATTATAAAATCATGAGGCTATTACAAGTTTCCTTTTTAGAAAGGAGATTCCACATTTTGGCTGTAGATTGTAAATAGTACATAATGTGTACGTACTTAGTGTTTTTTGGCTGATGTGTGGAGATAATTGTCCCCTTAGTTATATACAACATAGATCATGATTTCTCATTTTTTGGTTACGCTAGCTGTTTCCTTCAGGTTTTGAATACCGAGTCCTCTAACAGAGTATGATTCTAAGTGTTCATTTTCTTAAGTGTTTAGGATAAAAAATGTTCTATTGTGATTTTGATTTGAATATAGGTTCCATATGAAAAGAATAATGAGGGATGTTTTAAATCTGGCTATTGTTATTTCCCCAAATTAACTGTTCTTTCTCCCACTTGGTTGCTCCTGACAACAGCGTTGGTTTACAAAGCTACCTCCAGTGTTGACCTTTGAACTCTCAAGATTTGAGTTCAATCAGTCCCTCGGGCAGCCAGAGAAAATTCACAATAAGCTAGAATTTCCTCAAATTATTTATATGGACAGGTGAGTTCTTGGTTGCTTTTCTTTCTTCCTGACGTATGGCAACAGCGGACGTGGGCCTGCACTAGGTATTACTGCGCATAGGATTCACTAGGAAATCTTGATAATATGCACATTTGCATTTAGTGGCTATAGGTTGGGTCTAAGAATTTGCATTTCTAAATACTCCCAGGATGATGCTAATGATGCTTCTAATTTCTGGACAATTTTTTTTTTTTTTTTTGAGACAGAGCCTCAAGCTGTCCCCCTGGGCAGAGTGCCGTGGCATTACAGCTCACAGCAACCTCCAACTCCTGGGCTCAAGCGAGTCTCCTGCCTCCGCCTCCCAAGTAGCTGGGACCACAGGCGCCCGCCACAACGCCCGGCTATTTTTTGGTTGCAGCTGCCATTGTTGTTTGGCGGGTCCGGGCTGGGGATTCGAACCGGCCACCTTAGGTGTACGTGGCTGGCGCCTTAGCCGGTTGAGCTATAGGCGCCGAGCCAATTTCTGGACAATTTGAATAGCCTCAGGTGAAAGCTCTGTTACTCTGGGACTGTAGCAGGAACAGAGTGGGGAGTAACGGCGGTGCATTCCTTTCTAATCTGAATACTGTCTGTATTGGGGAGGGGCACATCCTAGGCAGACTTACATTATAGAATTTTAATCTTTTCAGAGTCTGGTTTGCTGAAGTATCGCTTACATACCAAAAAATAACTAATGAGTTATTTATAACCAGTGAGTTTGGACAAATGTACAGTCAAGTGACCACCATCACAATCAAGATACAGAGTATTTCCGTCACGCAAAGGTCTTCTTTGACCCTTTGTAGTCAGTTTCTTTTCTTTCTTTTTTTTTAGAGACAGAGTCTCACTTTATTGCCCTCAGTAGAGTGCTGTGATGTCACAGCTCACAGCAACCTCCAACTTGTGGGTTTAGGAAATTCTCTTGCTTCAGCCTCCTGAGTAGTTGGGATCACAGGCACCCTCCACACTGCCCGGCTGTTATTTGGTTGCAGTTTGGCTGGGGCTGGGTCCAAACCTGTCTCCCTTGGTATATGGGGCTGGCGCCCTACCCACTGAGCCACAGGCGCCGCCCATGCAGACATTTGCTTTCTTTCACCCCCCACTCTCTCTTTCACTTACCTGGCAGCCACTTGTTTTCTGATCCTGTAGTTTTGCCATTTCTGGCACGTCGTGTTAGTGACATACGAGTGACAAACGTGTTTAGTATGTGTCCTGATGTGGCTGTGTTCTTCCCTTTAGAGTAATATTTTGGGGATTCCCCCACGTTGCACGGGTCAGTAGTTTGTCCCTTCTGTCGCTGAGTGCTAGTCTGTTGTACGTTGTGTACCACAATATTTTTCCCGTCCACCAGTTGATGGACATTTCACATGTATCCAGTTTTAGGCTATTACATTATGAATGAGGCTGCCATGAACATTTATTTACATAGAAGCCTTGCTTGTAATTTTTAGTTCTTTTGGGTAGAATCCTAGGCATAGATTGCGGGGTTGTATGAAACGATATGTTTAATGGTACAAGAAATTTATGAATTGTTTTCTAAAGTGATTCATGTATAGTTTTACATCCCCATGACGGTATCCAGGAGCTCCATTTGCTTCACATCCTTACCAGTGTTTGCAATTATAAGTCTTTCTGATTTTAGGCATTCTAATGCATGTGTGGAATTTCTTATTTTTCTTCTTCTTCTTCTTCTTTTTTTTTTTGAGACAGTCTCAAGCTGTTGCCCTGGGTAGAGTTTTGTGGTGTCATAGCTCACAGCAACCTCAAACTCTTGGGCTTAAGCAATTCTCTTGCCTCAGCCTCCGGAGTAGCTGGGACTATAGATGCCCATCACAATGCCGCTTGGCTATTTTTTTGGTTGTAGTTGTCATTGTTGTTTGGCAGGCCCAGGCTGGATTCTATCTCCCCAGCTGTAGTGTATGTGGCTGGCACGCTAGCCGCTGAGCTACAGGTGCCCAGCCAGAATTTTTTTTTTTTTTAGACAGAGCCTCAAGCTGTCCCCCTGGATAGAGTGCCATGGCATCACAGCTCACAGCAACCTCCAACTCCTGGGCTCAAGCGAGTCTCCTGCCTCAGCCTCCCAAGTAGCTGGGACTACAGGCACCCGCCACAACACCCGGCCATTTTTTGGTTGCAGCCATCATTGTTGTTTGGCGGGCCCGAGCTGGGGATTCGAACCCGCCACCTTAGGTGTATGTGGCTGGCGCCTTAGCCGCTTGAGCCACAGGTGCCAAGCCCCCAGCCAGAATTTCTTACTTTTCTTTCGATTTATATTTTGTTGATAGCTAATGTTGAACATCTTGTCCTGTGCTTAATTAACAGTTATTTGTATATTTTCTTTGCTGAAGTTTCTGTTAAAATCTTTGTCTACTCTTTAATTGCATGGTTGTCTTAATGCTGAGTTTCTAAGAGTTCTTTATATATCTTAGATATAAATCTTTTTTTTTTCTTTTTGAGACAGAGTCTCAAGCTGTTGCCCTGGGTAGAGCATGGTGGCATCACAGCTCACAGCAACCTCAAACTCCTGGGCTAAGTTGGAGGAGTTTCTCAACTCCTTAGCCTTAGGAGGGACAAAGACTTCATTTTTTTTACCTTATTGCATTGGCTGTGCCTTCAGTAAAACATTTAATAGAAATGGAGCGGGATCCTTGCTTTCTTCCTGATCTTAGGGTTAGCCTCACAGAAAGGAAGGCCTTTGTCCCATGGAGGGAGGCAGGACTGCCCCTCCTGACCCCATCACATACTGTCCTGGATGTGATTTACAGGACTCCAGGTATTTTACTTTAAAGGTTATAATGATCCTTGGCAAACCTGGAAATATTAAATTACTTCTATGGGACCAAATATACCAATTCACTGTTAGGTACGATGCTAGCTGTGTATTTTTTATAGATGTCCTTATTCTGATTGAGGAAATTTCCTTATATCCCTAGTTTGCTAAAAATCTTTTAATGTCTTTAAATATACATTCTGTTTGTGGGATTATCATTTGCTTAGGTACATGCACAGGAGCAAGGAAATTATTCGGAATAAGAGAGAGCACATTCGAAAGTTAAAGGAGGAAATAAAAGTTCTGCAGGAAAAACTGGAACGGTAAGTGATGGGGACCTTTGTGCTGAGTAATATAAAACAGAGAGCATAGAATATTAAAGTCAAATCATTTGTTTGTATTTAAAAATTAATAGTGTTTCAGTATTAACTAGGTTAGTTTATGAAATAGCTGAGAAGAATTTCTCCTGAGTGTAAATCATTCTTTAAGATCAGATAATGTTATCCATGCATAAATAGTAAGTAGTCCGAGGGGACTTAGTGACCAAAAGTCACACAAGTAGTTATCGGCAGCACACTGAGGTGGAGCCGAGTTCTGATTTTATAGGCTTTTGCCTTTTCTATTCCCCTGGCCATCTTTTTTTTTTTTTTTTGCAGTTTTTGGCTGGGCGGGTTTGAATCCGCCACCTCTGGTATATGGGGCGGGTGCCCTACTCCTTTGAGCCACAGGTGCCGCCCCTGGCCATCTTTTTCACAAACATGAGAGAGAAACTGTCACAATGCTTCAGTTCACTTGTTTTAGAAAAGTGGTTTCTGAAATGTCTAGTAGAGGTAAAAAAAAATCATGCTGTTCTACCTACAACGGGGCCAAGTGATTAAAAGCGCTAGTTTTCTGATGCAAAATTTTTTCTCTTACAGAGAAATCTTTGCCTTTATCATTTATTTTACACTATTTCTGTGCAGTCACTCTATAATTCTTTTAGGGAGAATCATTGTAATTTCTTTCTAGCCCAGAGCCCATTGATTAAGCATTTAAGAAGGAAATCCTACACACTCTAAATGGTTCTTCCTTTCTTTCTGTATTTAACCATTCTCCTCCTACCATCACCCACCTCCACCCAGGCCATTGCTAGGTCATTAATGTCCTTGAGGGGCGGCACTTTCCATACCAGGCTCAGGATGGACCCTGCGCTCCTCCCACCAGCATCATCCCCACCTCAGCTTGCAGACAAGCTTCCTTGCAGGAAGAGCTTATCCAGGGTGCCCTGGGACCCGCCATCCATTTGTGTTAGAGGCTGAAGCTGAAGGTTGAGTCCTCAAATACTGTCCTGGCTGTGATTTACTTTAAAGGTTCTAGTGATACTTGGTAAACCTAGAAATATTAAATTATTTCTATAGAACCAAATATACCTGATGTTTTATACTCAAAACTATTCAATTAACCAGTAATAAGCAAGGCATTCTGAACTATTTAGATTTTAAAATAGAGTAATAAGAACATTTATCTTAGTATGATATTACTTTTATTTTAAACTATAATAACTTTAAATTTTTTATATAATTTTTTTTTTTTTTTTTTTTGGCCAGGGACGGGTTTGAACCCTCTATGAGGCTGGCGCCCTACTGCTTTGAGCCTCAGGAACCGCCCAATTCTCTTTCTTTTTTAAAGGAGTGAAGGTGAAGTGCCTTTGCTGTCTTCCTTCTAACATGTGGTTGACTTTAACTTGTATTGTGCTTCATTTCCCACTGCATTCATTTTATAATTTCCTTTTTTTGTTAGAGTCTTGCTTTGTCGCCCTTGGTAGGGTGCTGTGGCATCACAGCTCATAGCAACCTCCAGCTCTTGGGCTTAGGCGATTTTCTTGCCTCAGCCTCCTGAGTAGCTGGGACTACAGGTGCCCACCACAATGCCCAGCTACTTTTTTGTTGCAGTTTGGCCAGGGGGTGGGTTTGAATCTGCCACCCTCAGTTGATGAGGCCAGTGCCCTATTCACTGAGCCACAGGCACTGCCCTATAATTTCCTTTTTGATATAGAAATAGATGAGTTTCCGTCTTCCGAGTCCTGTTTCTTCCACTTTATTCAAAGAAGAAAAATGTGCTCTATTCCTCTGTTAAACAGAATTGCAGAATTAGCAGAATTAGGAGACTACCTGTGTCACTGGGTCACGCTGACTGTCATACCATTTAAGCTCTGTCTACTTTAGTGGGTTCTAGAATTTGTTAAACAAAATCTCTTGACTGAGGGCGGCACCTGTGGCTCAGAGGAATAGGGCACCGACCCCATATGCCAGAGATGGCGGGTTCAAACCCAGCCCCAGCCAAAAACTGCAAACAACAACAAAAAAATCTCTTGATTGAGTCCAAAGTAATGGGCTAGTAATGGCAGAATTGAATATTATTCAAATATTTATTATTTTGGTCACTCTCAGTTACTTGGGAGGCTGAGGCAGGGGGTGAAGTGGAAGGATTCCTTAGAGTTTAAGATCAACTTGAACAACAGAGAGACTTTGTCTCTTAAAAAAATAAATACAGGCTTGGTGCCTGTAGCTCAGAGGCTAGGGTAGCAGCCACATACACTAAGGCTGGTGGGTTCTAGCCCAGCCCAGTCCTGCCAAACAACAATGACAATTGCAACCAAAAAAAAAAAAAAATAGCTGGGTGTTGTGGCAGGTGCCTGTAGTCCCAGCTACTTGGGAGGCCGAGGCAAAAGAATCGCTTAAGCCCAAGAGCTAGAGGTTTCTGTGAGCTGTGATGCCACAGCACTCTACCGAGGGCAACATGGTGAGACTCTGTCTCAAAAACAAATAAATTATTTTGGTCACATTCTTTGTTTATTTTTATTTTTTGAGACAGTCTCATTATGTTGCCCTCAGTAGAGTGCTGTGGCATCACAGCTCACAGCAACTTCAAACTCTTGGGCTTAAGTGATTCTCTTGCCTCGGCCTCCCAAGTAGCTGGGACTACAGGCACCTGCTACAATGCCCGCTATTTTTTGGTTACAGTTGTCATTGTTGTTTAGCAGGCCCGGGCTGGGCTGGAACCCACCAACCTCAGTGTATGTGGCTGGTGCCCTAACCACTGAGCCACAGGCACCACCTTTGGTCACATTCTTGAAAATATGTATTATTTACCCATCTCAAAGAAATCTTCAATAATACATGCCTAGCCTATGCTAGTATATGAAAAATAGTGTACTTAGGACCCGTGAGAAGATTGGCCAGTTTTCTCCAACTCAGGGGTTTAGCAACACTTGTTTCCTATTTCCAGCTTGCTTTCTCTTATTTCTCTATTCTGAAGTTAATTGGGCAGAGGAGCAGCAAAGACAAAACCCTCAGACACCAGCTCGCCGGAATTCTTTTCAGATTTGGGTACTAGTAATTTCACTCTTTTCCTTTAAGGACCAGTTTATTTTGTGCCCAGAGCCTGAATGTGCTGGGACGGCAAGAGAAAGCATGACTGGCCTGACTTTGATTGAGGCCGCTTGAGATGCTTCCTCCTAGATGTCAAACTTCAGATTGTTGGTGTTGTCTGCTCTTGTAGCTAAAGTATTTTCACCCTGCAGATGGTTTTGGTAACCTACTAAATATCATACAGCCTTTGGAATGAGCCTTTTCATGGACTCCGTATGCCATGCAGATTTTTTGTCAGCAAGTCCAAAAATAAAAAACAAACTCGGATGGTGGAGTGCCACTGTCTTTGCCTCCTAGGTACGTGAAGTACGGCTCAGGCCCAGCTCGGTTCCCACTGCCAGACATGTTGAAATATGTGATTGAGTTTGCTAGTACGAAACCTGCCTCAGAAAGCTGTCCACCTGAGCGTGACACCTGCTTGACGTTACCACTTTCTCCAGGGCACTGCCCAGTTTCTGACCTGACATCCGAAGAAAGGTAATGAAAGCAAATTTTTAAAATGGTGCATATTGTTTCTCTGGTTTAATTTAAGCTATGCACGTTATTTCCCTGCCGGTTGTCACTTGGGTGGGAGTGTTCGTAGTTCTTACCAGTGGCTCTTGTCTTGCTCAGTGGTGGCTGGGATTATCTCAGGCAGCTTCCCGCGCTGTCCAGGCCAGTGTTCATATTCCCCCTGCACTGCCTCCGTTTGAGCTGCAGGCCAGCTGCTACCGAAGGCCTTTCTCAGAGGACAACTCAAACCCTGTTCTTCCAAAACCTCCTGTACTCGCACCTGCTCTGAAATATGCGCGACTAAGTAAACATTCAGGAAAAAGAGACTTCCTCATGAACAGAAAAGTAAAACATGGAAAAGAACTGGCTAGTAATTCAAAAAGTCCAGCCACATGCTGACAAGCCGCCATACACATATTGATATTTATCCACCCATAGATTCATAGAAATGCTTATCTGGATCAAACATACATACACATGTTAAGAATGATTATTTCTAGGAGATGACATGAGTCCGGAGGGTAAGAGTGGGGAGTTCTCTCACTTTTTATACTTATGTTTTTGAATTTTTTAAAGAATAGAACGTATTTTGTAAACTATAAATGGTTTTAACTTTTTAAAAGTTGGATGGGCAGACTTCTTATTTTTTTTGAGACAGGCTGTTGCTCTGGGTAGAGTGCTGTGGTGTTACGGCTCTCAGCAACCTCAAACTCTTGGGCTTAAGCAATTCTCTTGCCTCAGCCTCCTAAGTAGCTGGAACTACAGGTGCCCATCACAGTGCCTGGATTTTTTTGTTGTTGTTGCAGTTGTCATTGTTGTTTTAGCAGGCCCAGGTCTGGTTTGAACCTGCCAGCCTCAGTGTATGTGGCAGGCATCCTATCCACTGAGCTATGGGTGCTGCCAGGATGAGCAGACTTTTAATAATACTGCTAGATATTATTGGATTTTGAAGGGAGTTGTAGGGAGGTGTGTGCATAATGTCTTCTAAGATTTGGATATCTGCTCTTATGCTTATTGGGCTTATTTTCCCAAATGTGTGGGTCTTTTAGGAAAAGAGGTTATCTCTATTATTTTGTGCTTATGAAAGAAGAGCAGCCGGGAGGTTTTCTTTAAGTGAAAGCTAAAGGAAATTTATGTTCTTCAATTTTGATGTGAAATGAAACCTAAGTACAATTAAAAGCTTATTTTATATTTTTGCTGGTTTGTCCTTGTGCAGTTTTACTCTGATGATAGTTTATTAGTAGGTAAATTGCCATTTGCTTTGCATATTTTATTCTGTTAATTTACAGCAGTGATGTAGAGAACTAATATTTCCATTTCATTGCCGGGCGAGGTGGCTCACACCGGTAATCCTAGCACTCTGGGAGGTAGAGGCGGGTAGATTGCCCTGAGCTCACAGGTTCAATACCAGCCTGAGCAAGAGGAAGAGCAAGATCCCATTTCTAAAAATAGAGTGCTGTGGAGTGTCTATAGTCCTAGCTACTCGGGAGGCTGAGGCAAGAGAATCACTTGAGCATAAGAGTTGATAGTTGCTGTGAGCTGTGATGCCACAACACTCTACCGAGGGTGACAAAGTGAGACTCTGTCTCTCAAAAACAAAAAAACAAAAAAACTTACATTTCATAGATGAAATATTAACTTATCTAGCAGTAATTCTTTTTCATGGATATTTAGCTCAGGAATGGCCGTGCAGGAATAGTCTGACTGAGCCCTGCCCTCTGGGCTCTCCCAAGCTGCCCCCTGGCGTGCACCCTTCTGTATTGGATGCTCAGCTGATGCTTCATCTCTCTTGTTTCTGGGTGGATAGTCTTGCTTTTTAAGTTGCATCTTGGAAACTCTGTAGTAGTTCCTTGATGGTCTAGACCCAGTCTTCTCTTCTCCATCTTCTGGTTATAATCTGTGATGAGAGAACGTGAACCAAAGCCTCACGTGTTTAAATCCCTTTGCGTCACCTATTAGCTGGGTGAACTTGGGTAAGTTGCTTAATTTCCTTAAACCTTAGGTTTATAATTGGTAAAATAGGAAGTGTAATAGTACCTGTCTTATGAGCAAATGTTAAAAGAAATGATACACATAAGAGAGGCTTGGCTCAATAACTTTGCAGAATTAATACTCAATAATAGCTGTGCTTTTCATATAGAGCTTGCTTTACAAGGCACATTAATTTAGGGCAACGTATCTTTTGAAAATTATCATACGAACATGCCTTTTGTCTTTCTTCAGTACAAATACAGATAGTTCTTCACAGGATGGTGAAAGTACCTTTTCTTCCCCTGGAGATTCTCTACACAAGTCTAAGCCACTTCTGTCTTCCCGGTCTTCCTTGGAAATGCCTGCACACCCAGCTCCTCGAAAAGTCACCGATGAGGAGATAAACTTTGTTAAGACGTGTCTTCAGAGGTGGAGGAGTGAGATCGAACAAGATATACAAGGTTGGCTCTTTTAAAACTTGTCAAGTAGTTACTCTTTGCCTTTTCTGTTTTGTTTGAGTATTTGGGCCTCAGGCACCTTGCATATACGTCCTGCCCTTGCTGTATATGCTGTTGAATTTTGGCATGGTCATCTTGACTTCTTTTGTACTTTTTTTTTTAAAAACAGGGTCTTGCTCTGTCGCCCTAGCTGGAGTACAGTGGTGTTATCACTGTAACCTCAAACTCCTAGGCTCAAGCGATCCTCCCACCTCAGCCTCCCAAGTAGCTAGGACTACAGGTGCGTGCCACCACGCACATCTAATTTTTCTATTTTTTGTAGAAATGGTTTTATGTTGTTTGTACTGGTCTCAAACTCCTGGCCTCAAGCAATCTGGCTGGCTCAGCCTCCCAAAGCGCTAGGACTTAAAGCGTGAGCTGCCATGCCAGGCCTCTTTTGTCCTTTAGAGCCCTGTAAGCTTAGTTCATACTTCTATCATACAGCTGTAGGTGATCCCTCCTTAAAACTTCTGGGGCTTCCTAGAAGCCTAGGCATTTATGATCACCTTCATTGGGATTTTTCTGCACGTGCTAATTTCCTTTCTGCAGTGGTTTCTCCAAACTCAATTTATCTTTTCCTGGGCTTCTTTTTTTTTTTCTGTCTGAAGCATGCTTTACTGAAGGTTAATAAGCTAGAAAATATTTGAGCCATGCAATGGAAAATTGAACTGTTCAGGACTTTTTAAAAGTCTTTTGGCCACATTGCCATGTAGTTCAGACGATCCTTTCTCCATGTTTCTTCTGCTTTTATCTGGTTAGCAGAAAGACAAAATTCTAAGTTCCCTTAAGCGTTTATTCGGAGAAACTTAGCCTTGGCCTTTATTAAATCATCTCCTCATTTCAGATCTTTTCTCTGGGACATATTCTGTATTTTACATCCAAGTGACCCATTAACATCTTTTCCTCAATAGAATCAGTTTCCTCTTTAATAAATTTTCGTGCCAATTATAAAGGACATTGTTTGAAGCCTTCATGTAATTCTATGGAGCTAAAAGCCTTCATAACCTAAAGCACTCGCTCTACTTTGTGGTTCACAGAGGGAAATTAAAATCATCACAGCCCTCAGTGTGGATAAGCAATACTTTGTGCTTAGTTGAAGCAGCGTCTGTGACATGGAATGAGATCATTTAATGAAGTGTTTTTGTTTTTCTTTGTTTTCTAAACAGATTTAAAGAATTGTATTGCAAGCACTACCCAGGCTATTGAGCAGATGTACTGTGACCCTCTCCTCTGTCAGGTAGAATGAATATTGTTTGAACAATGGTCAGAGCATGTGCTAACAATAGACCCGAGAAGAAAATGGGATCGTTTTCTATGAGACTGAGATACAGGAATAAACTCAAGACAAAAATTGATCCTGTTTCTTTATTGTGGACTAAAGAAAGTGCTATGTCTTTTACTAATAGAACCTAAAACGTATTTTATTTTTATTTTGCCACATAGAGTTTTTTCATATCCTACAAAGATTGGCTGTCAACTGGTAATAAAAATCATTCAAAATTCTCAGAGTTGAGGGGACATAAAAAGAAAAATAAATTACTTGCAAAATAACAATTTAAATAGTGCAATGGAAAGAAACAAACTAGGGTCCAGTTATCCATCTTTTCCAAAAGTACCACAGTTCTTGGTGATCTTCCCTTTGACAGCAGGCTTTATTTTTATAATACCTGATAACTCCAAAAGGGAGTTAAGCAGGCAGAAATGCTTACCGGCCACATTTTGTTGAGAATAACATTCCGGGCATTAAGGGAAGCAGAGCCTCTGTGCAGGGCCCTGGCCTGGCCATGGCTTCTCTGCGAGTGACAGAATGGGCAGCGTGGCCGCAGGAGAAGAACGGTGTGTAGAGACATCAAGGTGTAATCCTGTTGCATAACAGGAAGGCACCATGTGAACCTTGGGTTTCTCCATTTTCTCTTTTGTGTTATTTCAAAAATCGGCAGCAGTAAAAACAGGTCAAGGTACTGATTAGATGTCAGTTTGGTTTGATTCTGTAATTGGCTTTCCTAACTTTCACTGAAGTGCTGCTTGGTCTTTCCCATAGTGGAAAACATTTTTCAAATATTGAAACAAGTGTGTAGCTAAAAGGGTCTTCACCCCGGATAGGCGGATGATGACTCACAAGAAGAAACAAGAGGAGTGAGTGCGGCTGCGTGAAATACGCTAACTTAAATTTTGGTGCCAGAGAAGGTAAAATAACATATCCGTTCACCGTGTTCTTTAGTTCCAAATACGATAGACTTTTTTTCAATGTCAGTGGTCAAGGGATTCTATTTTTGGATGAACTGAGTTTTGAATCGGAAGGACATGTAGACCGAGGTTATCTTTGGTTTTCCATCTAATAATCACAGGCGTTTAAAGAGTGTTCAGAGTGGTCATCATTGATGCAAACAGAATTGGTAGATTCTAAGCCTGTGCTTTGTTAGTTCATCCTGAGTCAAGAGATGTTTTGAGGTGACCCCCATAGGAAGCACATGTGTGAATGGTCATTTGTAGAATGTAACCTTTATAGGTTACTTTGCTCACCCTGACTGAGGCCTGTTCCTTTCTGGTCTGCAGGTGCCTTATCGCTTACATGCTGTTCTCGTTCATGAAGGACAAGCAAATGCTGGACACTACTGGGCCTATATCTATAATCAACCGCGGCAGACCTGGCTCAAGTACAATGACATCTCTGTTACTGAGTCTTCCTGGGAAGAACTTGAAAGAGATTCCTATGGGGGCCTGAGAAATGTTAGTGCCTACTGTCTGATGTATATTAATGATAAACTACCCCACTTCAATGCAGGTAAAAATATCTCAGTGGAACCCAGAGACTGGGGGGAACTTGTTCTCCCCAAGGAAGGAAATAGTATTGTACTTCGTTTTAAGAAATTTAAACTGTATTATGATGATGGTGTAATAATGCATTTAAAAAATGCGAACAGTATAAAAGGGAATTAAAAAGGAAAAACAACCTAGCTACTCAGCAGGTTGAGGCAGCAGAATCGCCTAAGCCCAAGAGCTGGAGGTTGCTGTGAGCTGTGACGCCACGGCCCCCTACTGAGGGCGACAAAGTGAGACTCTGTCTCTTTAAAAAAAAAAAAAGGGAAAAACAAGTTTAATTTTCTACTTGCATCCTTGACTACTGGTCCCACTCCTCAACAAGTATATACTGTTAGGTTTCTTATGTAGTCCTCAAGAAATATTTCATGTGTACATATGCTGGATTGTATTTATCTGTATCCCCCCCTTTTTTTCCCAAATGAGATGCTTTTCTACTTAATTCTCTACCTTTTAATAGAATATTTAGAGATCTTCATATTTCTATAAATAAAACCTACTCATTCTTTTTTAACAACTGCTTAATAATTCCATTACATGGAATATATGTATATATATACACATATATATAATGTATTTAACCAGCCTCTCATTGATAGCCTCTTTTTTTTTTTTTTTTTTTAAAGAGATAGAGTTTCACTCAGTGGCTCAGGCTGAAGTGCACTGGTGCCATCATAGCTCACTGCAGACTGGAGCTCCTGAGCTCCAGCTGTCATTCCACCTCACCCTCTCATTGGGATGAGATGCTGGGTTTATAGGAATCATCCATTATGCCCAACCTTGACAGATTTTTTTTTTTTTTTGCAGTTTTTGGCCGGGGCTGGGTTTGAAACCCCACCACCTCTGGTATATGGGGCCGGCACCCTACTCCTTTGAGCCACAGGCACTGCCTCCTTGAATACATATTTTTATGCCTATTGGAGAATAGCTAAATTTTAAAAGTGAAAACAATGCCAGAACAGCTTCATGCTTCTCATACTACTGCTACTACGAATGCTAAGAGCAATAACAATTTCCATTTATATTGGTACTTTACTCCTTCATGCATGGTTTCAAATGTTATTTCTCTAATAACGCTAAAAGGGAGGTAGGCAGGGTAGAAGTTGCTGTGTTCATTTCCCAGCTGCATAACAGGTTCCAAGAGGTCCCATAGTCATACAGTATGTAAATGGCAGTATGTAAATTGCAGTATGTAAATTGCCAGTATGTAAATGGCAAGCCCAGGATTCGAATCCAATTCTGACTCCAAATTCTGTGCTGTTTTCAATTTATAATATTATGTCTTCCTTTCACATCTTCTGTGAAAGGTCTTTTGACCAGCATTTTACATGTAGGATAATAGAAGGTTTTTCTTTTAATATTCAAACTTGACTGCGTTGCATGAATAAGGAAAACCTGTAAGGCATTTTGTCCAGACAGCGCATTATCATTCTGATATGCTAATGTGATTAGGAGATAGCAAATGGAGAGAATGATCACCTAAAAGCTGATCCTCAAAATTGTATTTTTTTTTTTTTTGAGACAGAGCCTTAAGCTGTTGCCCTGGGTGGAGTGCCATGGCATTACAGCTGACAGCAACCTCCAACCCCTGGGCTTAAGCGATTCTCTTGCCTCAGCCTCCCAAGTAGCTGGGACTACAGGCGCCCGCCACAACGCCCGGCTATTTTTTGATTGTAGTTGTCATTGCTGTTTGGCAGGCCCAGGCCAGATTTGAACCCGCCAGCTCTGAGCTCTGGTATATGTGGCCGTTGCCTTAGCCGCTTGAGCCAGAGGTGCTGAGCCTGCATTTTTATATTATACAGTAATGAATAGCTGTTTGTGGGAGTTATAGTACAAATAAGCATATTAGCTATTAGTAGTATTTGAGAGCCCTGTTACTGCATGCATCGTTCATTTTTATTTTATAGAGACAAGTGGAAATTCATTTGCTCAGTGAAAAAGCTAGTTAATGGAAATCAGTAAGTGAATGTGTTGTTCTGCTATAGATTTTTTTGTTGTTTTGGTCACAGGGTGAGAAATGAAATTTAGTGTGTCCTTGATATCCTTGGATATAATTGAAGCCAGTTATTAGTGACCATTTAATCTTTGTATTAAATTGCTTTCTGATGACTCTTATTTGTGTGAAACTTGAGATAGTATAAATATCTACAAATCCATCTCTAACCTTGAAATGGCTATTCTTATCAATAACAGTTGTAGTAGTTAAACTGATAAAACTAGATTGAAATTTCCATTGGTTCTAATGATTTTCTGAATTTCCAAGAAATGTTTGGTACATTCAGTGATCGATAGCTCTTCCATATATTTAATTATTGTCTGCATGCTAATAAATTAGCCAGGCACTGTCAGTGAGGGTTGAGCATCCCAAATCTGAAAATCCAAAATTCAAAAGGCTTAAAATCTGAAACTTTGTCAGTGCTGACATGGTGCTTGAAGGGAATGCTCATTGGAGCATTTCAAGTTTGGATTTTCACATTTGGGTTACTCAACTGGCAAGTATGATATTCAAAATTCTGGAAAAAAAAATTGAAATCTGAAACGCTTCTGGTAAGGGATATTTTAGTTGATGGTTATTTTAGTTGATATTTTTGGAGGCTGTCACTCTGTTGCCCCAGCCTAGAGTGCCATGATTGATATCAGCTTAGCTTATAGCAACTGCAGTGATACTTTTGGGTTCGAGGAATAATTTTGCCTCAGCCTCCCCAGTGGCTGGCACTACAGGTACCTGCCACAGAGCCTGGCTAATTTTTCTGTTTTTAGTAGAGACAAGGTATCTCTGTTGCTCAGGCTGTTCTCAGATTCCTGGGCTTAGGCATCCACCTGCCTCTGCCTCCCAGAATGCTAGGATTATAGGCATGAGTTTGGCCTCAGTCTATTTTTCCAATGGATTATGTCTGTATATATTTTTAGTTAGGAGTAGGATGAAAGATGAAATATCCCACTTTCTTCCTTTTTGGAAAGTACATTTTGGTTCCTGGTGACCTTTTCCTGGATGCTACTCCATTTACCTCTGTCTTTCCTAGAGACAGCCCCTAACGAATCAGATCAAATCTCAGAGGTGGACTCCCTGTCAGTTGAACTTAAACATTACATTCAGGAAGATAACTGGCGGTTCGAGCAGGAATTAGAGGAATGGGAAGAAGAGCAGTCTTGTAAAATTCCTCAAATGGAATCTTCTACCAACTCTTCATCCCAGGATTTCTCTCCATCACAGGGTATGTGAGAAGGGCGTTTCTGTTCATGCTGCAGACCCCCAGCCATCCCGTACACTTCAGCTGACGTTATGGCAGGCACAGCCTGATAGAATAAAATATGGCTTTGTAGTGTGATTGTTGATGAGCAGAAGTAAATAATTAGAAAGACCATGGATCCTGCAATTCCTCTAATCACTTTGCAAAAAAGATACTTGCACCTGATTATTCATTGCAGCTCAATTGGTGATAGCCAAGTCATGGAAGAAGCCTAAGTGCCCATCGACCCATGAATGGATTAATAAATTATGGCATATGTATACCATGGAATACTATGCAGCCTTAAAAAAGACGGAGACTTTACCTCTTTTATGTTTATATGGGGGCACCTGGAGCATATTCTCCTGAGTAAAGTATCTCAAGAGTGGAGGAAAAAGTATCAAATGTGCTCAGTACTTCTATGAAACCAACTTATATTTACTCACACTTTGTTATGAAAGGTAGAACACAACTATAGCCCAGGATGAAGGAGAGAAATGGAGTGGGAAGGGAGGGGAGGAGGAAGGTTTATAGAGGGAGGGTAAAAGGTAGGACCACACCTATGGAGCATATGGCCAGGGTACAAGTCAAATCTGTCAAGTGTAGGACGTAAATGCCCTAACACAATAATCAAGTAAATGAGGCAAAAGCTATGTCGATCGGTTTGATGTAAGCACATCAGATTGTATAAAAAAAAAAACAACACATTGTACCCCACATATGATAAATGTATTCATCTATGTGTATACGACTTAATAAATAAATAAAAAGGACCTCTTAACATGTAAAAAAAAAAAAAATTAGAAAGACCAGCTATCCATACCTTCCCTGTGTGTGTAGTGTTACCTGCTTCCCAGCTAAAGGAGGAACTATGGTAGGATTGATAGATAGACTTTATGAAAACTGCTCTCCAGAGGTGATCTACTCAACAGATGGTTATAGGAAAGCCTCCTTGGCATACAGAAGTCTGACGATGTTAGGAGCACATTAAATCTTACAGAATCATCCAGGGGTTCTCGCTGAAGTAGCTTTTCTTACAGTCTCTAGTTTCTGGGAGATATCTGCGTAGGGTTTTTTAAAAGATGTGTTAGAAGGACTGTGACTGAGCTGCGTATCTTTCCGGCTTGCTTTTGTCCTTGTCCTCGACTGTTTTGTCATCCGATGCTGATGACTTTGTGCTGTTCTTTATCAGATTCCGCAGTAGCCTCTTCCCACGCGGTTCGCTGCCTGTCGTCTGAGCACGCTGTGATCGTGAAGGAGCAGACCGCCCAGGCCATTGCAAACACCGCCCATGCCTATGAGAAGAGCGGGGTAGAAGCAGCGTTGAGCGAGGTGAGAGTTCCTGGGAAGCCCACGTCCCGCAGGGTCCGGCTTTCGGCCGTAATTGCCAGTTTCCTCGCGTTTCTATGATTCTGTGTCTCTCTTGCATTTAACTACCCCCTTTATTTCTCCTATTTTTTTCTTACTTTTCTCCTTATTCTGCCACCACAGCTTAAGGAAACTGAACCCAAGAAGCCCATGCCCCAGGAAACAAACCTTGCAGAGCAGTCAGAGCAGCCCCCCAAGGCTGAGGATGCAGAGTCTCCTGCCCAGCCTAACTCTGAGGTCTCTGAAGTGGAGATCCCCAGTGTGGGAAGGATTCTGGTTAGATCTGACGCAGATGGCTATGACGAGGAGGTACAGAGCCCAGGGCAGGGCCTCGCTGCTTGTTGTCAGTCTGAGCTTTCCTTCTCATGGGACCGAATGAATATTCTTTTTTAGTGTGTCTGGGACTAGCCAGTATTTTCTCATTAAAACAGATAACTGACATGAAGGACTAACTAGTTTTGACCTTAGTTACCATTTTTAAAAGATAGTTAAGTGCCTATTGTACCCTGCTCCAAGCTGATGCTTGTGGGAGCTGCTGCCGGGTGTGGGTGGCTCAGAGAGATAGAACTTAGTTCCTTCTCATGGTATTTACTAACAAAACATTGCCTTTTAATTTTATTTTTTTGGTATTACTCAATATTTTTTTTCTCCAAATACAAATTTTTCAGTTGTCCAGCAAATGTGGATTAATGTTTTGTTTGATTTTTAGAGACAGAGTCCCACTTTGTCACCCTTGGTAGAGCACTGTGGTGTCACACAGCTCACAGCAACCTCCAGCTCCTGGGCTTAGGCGATTCTCTTGCCTCAGCCTCCAGAGTAGCTGGGACTACAGGTGCTCGCCACAACGCCTGGCTGTTTTTTGGTTGCAGTTTGGCCAGGGCCGGCTTTGAACCCGCCATGCTTGGCATATGGGGCCTGCGCCCTACTCTCTGAGCCACCGGCACCACCCTGGATTAATGATTTTAATTCTAACTGTAGAATTCCAAGTTTTTCACTGTCTCATTTTCAGTTGCACTGCACATAGACGATGGTGAGTTTCATCTCTCAGACTTTGGTTTTTTTCCTCTAGGGTATTTTTTTTTTAAATCATGGAAAGGTTTTTATTTTATAGAGTCATTTGTGTATTTGTGTAGCTTCTAGTTTCCAGACTATTATAAATGTACTGTTTATCCTAGTAAAAATTCTGAAATATTTGTGTGTTTAAGATGCACATCCAAAGTACAACACGGAGTTGGAATTCTGGCCTCAGACACTTCCCCTCTGAGAGCTGTAATTTAACAGCAGTACCCTATTGGAGATGATTTTGGATGGGCATCTTTCTTCATCTTGCTAAATTGAAGAGGACATGTAGTATAGGGATAGTGCGTCTTGGATGAGGTGTTGACACTGATCGGAGGGGCAGAGGCCGTGCATGCGTGTGGGAGTGGGCGTGGGAGACTTGCCGAGCCTCAGACGCTGGCCGCTAGCACAGCGCTGCGCTTCCCGGCCGTGCTCTGTCCAGCCTGCTTTCACACAGTCTTCTCTTGAACTTTCTTCTCTTCTCTTTCTCTCTGTTTTGTGTCCTCTTGTGGTAGGTGATGCTGAGCCCTGCCATGCAAGGGGTCATCCTGGCCATAGCTAAAGCCCGTCAGACCTTTGACCGAGACGGGTCTGAAGCAGGGCTTATTAAGGTATCTCTGTTTTAAAAATTCTAATCCTTGTAATACAACGATCCTAATATCAGGGCAATAATTCTATAAGATGGGTATATACCTGTAGTCCCAGTTCCTCAGCAGTCTGAGGCAGGACAGTGGCTTGAGGCCAGGAGTTGGAGGCTGCATTATACTATGATCACATTTGTGAATAGCCACTGCTCTCTAGCCTGGGCAACACAGTGAGACCCCATCTTCTTATTAAAAAAAAAAAAAAGCCTTTTATTGAAGTGATACTCGAAACTCCCTTTCCTATTCCATGGTACTGTCCTCTCCTCTCCTCTTGGCACTAACTCAGCCTTGGCTGGCAGTGCCATTTTCCATTATATCTAACTTAGAAGGGCTTTTTCTTTCTTTTTTTTTTTTTTTTTTGAGACAGACCCTCAAGTTGTCGCCCTGCGTAGAGTGCTGTGACGTCGCAGCTCACAGCAACCTCTAACTCCTGGGCTCAAGCAATTCTCCTGCCTCTGCCTCCCAAGAGATGGGACCACAGGCGCCCGCCAGAACGCCTGGCTGTTTTTTGGTTGCAGCCGTCATTGTTGTTTGGCGGGCCCGGGCTGAATTCAAACCCACCAGCTCAGGTGTATGTGGCTGGTGCCTTAGCCACTTGAGCACAGGGGCTGAGCCTAGAGGGGCTTTTTCTATCTGGAGATGTCTATTAATAATACTATGAGTTGGATTGTGCCCTAGTAATTTTGAGGCCCTAATATAAAAAATAGGTAATGCTTTGAATGTATTTTAATAAAATTTGAAGTACTTGAATAAAATTGCGTTTGTATGGATGTTTGAAATTCCAGTCATTGGATCTCAGAGATACGCCTTTTATAATAGTTGAAACTGAGTATTTGAACAGTTACTGGGGAGACTGAGGTGAGATAATCACCTAAGCCTACAAATTGGAGATGAGCTGGGGCAACATAGACCCAGGCTTTCAACAAAATAAAAACAAAAAATGCAAATATTAGTTTTTGGAAACTACTTGAGAAAAATGAGTGTTTTAGAAATACAGTATATTTTTAGTGCCAGAAGGCTAGAAGATTTTTATTCCATATGAAATGCAGAGAACTTAAAGATTCCACGATGCCCTTTGTAATTCCTCAGGAAGAATTTTTTAGAAGTCTTCTTGGAGTTGTGAGGCCATCTAGACCAGGTATCCTCAAACTACGGCCTGTGGGCCACATGCGGCCTGCTGAGGACCTGTATCCGGCCTGCCAGGTGTTTTTGCCACCGCTGTCTGTCTTGCTTAGCAGCCAACTCTTCATGGGGCCCGCAGTCTGGCCCTCCAGTGGTCTGAGGGACAGTGAACTGGCTTCCTATTTAAAAAGTTTGAGGACCCCTGACCTAGACCTTAAGCATCCACTTCTGCAGACAGAAGCCCACAACACACCCGTTTCTAATATGACCTCTGTCTTTCATAGGCATTCCATGAAGAATATTCCAGGCTCTACCAGCTCGCCAAGGAGACGCCCACCTCTCACAGTGACCCTCGACTTCAGCATGTCCTCGTCTACTTTTTCCAAAATGAAGCGCCCAAGAGGGTGGTAGAACGAACCCTTCTGGAACAGTTTGCCGATAAAAATCTTAGCTATGATGAAAGGTGAGTAGGGAAGATTCAGGTGAATCACCCTGGGTCTGGCTAAGCTGAGACTTCTGGGGGGTAAGTTTTGCCTTGGGCCCTGTCATCGCCTTCTGGCCTCTGTCCCACACAGATCCATCAGCATTATGAAGGTGGCTCAGGCGAAACTGAAGGAGATCGGTCCAGATGACATGAACATGGAAGAGTACAAGGTAAAGTCTGTGCTCGAAATCTGTAAAGCCAAACATTAATGCTTCCAGCAAATGCTACCTAAGGCCAAATCAGTTCTGTGCTATCGCGGACTAAGTTGTTCTCCCCCCAAAAATATTTGGCAAAGAATAGTGATAGAATCAAGTTCATGACCTTTTGTAACTCTGAGGAGCAGATCTCTTTGTTTTCATTCTCCTATTAGAATGAACCAACATTTCATTTTTCTTAAATACCTACTTTAGCCTTGTCCCAGGTCATGAAATTCTTGAAATCATGCTTTGATTTTGTTTTGAAATGATACTGTTTTTAAAATATACATTAAAATACGTATACAGTTACAATGTTTTTTTCAAAATTGCCTTGTGAGCTGTGTGATTTGGAAGAGCTTTGTCCTTCCGTCTTTCTCAATTATGGGCGGTTTTATTAGTACTTGGGAGGTCATTCGTTTAAGCCAGAGCTGAATGACTTTGACAAGACTGTTGAAAATTAAGATAATAAATTCTACAGCTCATGTAAAATACTATAAATGTTTCTGTTCCTCAGCAAAAGGAATAGAACATTGAAATTAAGGTCAGTGGCAGACTTTGATTTTAAATGTTGAACGGCTTTTATTTCTGCAGCTTTTGTGATTGTTGATTTCATGGCTGGCCACATGTGCTCAATAAATATTTGTGTTGAATTTAAAACTTAGGTGCAGAGGCCGGCACTAGTTTCTTATGGTCACAGTCATTAATGGTTGTCATTCCTTTTCAGAAGTGGCATGAAGACTATAGCTTGTTCCGAAAGGTGTCTGTGTATCTCCTAACAGGCCTGGAACTCTATCAAAAAGGAAAGTAAGTTGGCCTTTTTTTTTTTTAAGACAGAGCCTCAAGCTATTCCCCTGGGTAGAGAGCTGTGGCATCACAGCTCACAGCAACCTCCAACTCCTGGGCTCAAGCGAGTCTCATGCCTCAGCCTCCCAAGTAGCTGGGACCACAGGCACCTGCCACAACGCCCGGCTATTTTTTGGTTGCAGCTGTCATTGTTGTTTTGGTGGGTCCGGGCTGGATTTGAACCTGCCACCTTAGGTGTATGTGGCTGGCACCTTAGCCACTTGAGCCACAGGCGCCGAGCCAAGTTGGCCTTTTTTTCCCCCAAGATTATGGGTCAGGACACTTAGCTCCTTAACGCCTGCCCAGCAACACTAAGAGTCGTAGCTGCGCAGCCTCCACGTCACACCCTGGTGGCCTTTTCTCTTTCTGGTGCTTCCGTTTTGCTCTAAATATCACACATCATTTTTCATCCTTCACATAACGAGATTTGTTAGCAGGGAGATACACTGTGCCAGACTTTGTTTGTGATAAATGAACTCAGAAAATGAATTTTCTAGTTAGTGTGGTCCCTAGTGAACATCTAAGTCACTTTTTGTTTAGAGATGGGAAAAACTGAAGCCCAGGGAGGTTCCTGATTCGCCGTCACTGGCTTGGCCAGTTTGTAGATCTGAGACTGACCTTGGTCTTTGATCCTTAGGTTTTTCCTTTGCCAACTCTTATGTTTAAGACTTGTATATAGGGCGGTGCCTGTGGCTCAAGCAGTAGGGCGCTGGCTCCATATGCCAGAGGTGGCAGGTTCAAACCCAGCCCTGGCCAAAAAACTGCAAAAAAAAAAAAACCCAAGAAAAAAGACTTGTATATAATTGCAGCTAGGTAGGTGCAAGCACTGGGGAAAGTGAGGTCTAAACCTTGCTGTTGGGTAAGGAGCTCCCAGCTGCTGTGCGTCTCCCATCTCTCAGGTACCAAGAGGCGCTGTCCTACCTGGTGTACGCCTACCAGAGCAACGCAGCCCTGCTGATGAAGGGGCCCCGCCGGGGGGTCAAGGAGTCGGTGATCGCTTTATACAGAAGAAAATGCCTTCTGGTTTGTACTGTGTGTAAGATTTGTCTGTGTGCTTACCTCTCTTCCTTGAAGTTACGGAGAGATATAACAAAATAATTATCTCCACCAGGTTTTAGATTTTTCTTTCCAAACTCTCATAGTCAGTTTTCCATCAGGAACTTATTCTTTTCTGTTACCTTAAGTGAATATCATTCCTCTTCATCTCCTGATAGGTGAGCATCCCCCGCCCCTCTCTGCCCTTAATGTATGCCGACATTATGGGTTTTTTTTGGTTTGGTTTTGTTTTTTTGAGACAGAGCCTCAAGCTGTCCCCCTGGGTAGAGTGCCGTGGCATCACAGCTCACAGCAACCTCCAACTCCTGGGCTCAAGTGAGTCTCCTGCCTCAGCCTCCCAAGTAGCTGAGACCACAGGCGCCGGCCACAACATCCGGCTATTTTTTTTTGGTTGCAGCTGTCATTGTTGTTTTGGCGGGCCCGGGCTGGATTCGAACCTGCCACCTTAGGTGTATGTGGCTGGCACCTTAGCCACTTGAGCCACAGGCGCCGAGCCGACATTATAGTTTTTATCACGTTACTTCCCTACTGGATTATGAGTTCCTTGAACACAGATCCTTTTCTTATTCAGCCATTTCCTTTGGCCCATAGTAAGCATATAATGTGCACTGAACCAATGCAGTATTTTTCTGTGTTTTTCTAGTAAGCTAGTAGGTGAAAGTTTAAGTGACTTTAAGACTCCAGTTTTTATTTTATTTTATTTTTTGAGACAGAGTCTCACTTTTTTGCCCTTGGTAAAGTGCTGTGGCATCACAGCTCACAGCAACCTCCAACTCCTGGGCTTAGGCCATTCTCTTGCCTCAGCCTCAGCCTCCTGAGTAGCTGGGACTACAGGCGCCTACCACAGCACCTGGCTATTTTTGTTGTTGTTGTTGCAGTTCGGCCAGGGCCAGGCTTGAACCTGCCACCCTTGGTATATGGGCCCTACTCACTGAACCACAGGTGCCGCCCGAGACTCCAGTTTTTAAAAAAGATGCATGCATGAACCATAACAATTGTTCCTGCTGTTCTGATAACATTGTGCTATACTAGTGGGAGGTAAATGTCTCCTGGCCTAATTTGCATTTAGCAGCCACATGGAAAGGCAGAACTGTATCCCCTTCTCTACCCAAGGGTTCCTGGTGCTTGTCCTTCAAAGAACTGCAGAGAAGCGGCTGCCTCCACCCTGTGTGCTGTGTGTGTTTTCCCGGACACCTAGCACGTTTGCCCTTCACAGAAATCATGCCAGCAATTCTCCCACTGCCTTGTCCTTCTTCATACCAAATGGAGGAGATTAAATCATGACATATATCCATCTCAAGAGCTTCATTTCTGATTTAAACTTTGATTTCTGTATTAGTTAAACATGTGGCAGGGCCACTTTAAAGCTGAAAAAGGAGACTTAGAGATTTGATGGATTTGACTTTTATTAGAGCCATGCTTTTATATTTTAAATCACTGAATAGATTGACATTTTTAATATCTACAGTTGCTACAGTAATTCAGTAATAAGGATTTAGACTCTATTACTGGGTCTCTATCCCCAGTGTGCATCCGAATCACTTAGGGAGCTTTCCCACAAAGTGAAGTTCACGCTCCTCCCCCAGAATTTTGGGGGGAGGGCATTGGGCATCAGTGTGCCTTCCACCGGTGATATTAATGCTGTGTGAACAGGTCCTTGATAGAAGCAGGTTTTTTTTTTTTTTGAGACAGAGCCTCAAGCTGTCCCCCTGGGTAGAGTGCCGTGGCATTACAGCTCACAGCAACCTCCAACTCCTGGGCTCAAGCGAGTCTCCTGCCTCAGCCTCCCAAGTAGCTGGGACCACAGGCACCCGCCACAACGCCTGGCTATTTTTTGGTTGCAGCCATCATTGTTGTTTGGCGGGTCCGGGCTGGGGATTCGAACCCGCCACCTTAGGTGTACGTGGCTGGCGCCTTAGCCGGTTGAGCTATAGGCGCCGAGCCAGAAGCAGGTTTTAAGCATGATCTTGACTTACAAGTTTAGGCCACTGGGTCACAAACTTTGCTGCATTAGAATCACTTTGGGGGCCTTTATAAGATCCAGCGCTCAGGTCACCTGCATAATGATTGAGTCGGCATGTCAGGAGTGGGAGTCAGACATCGGTAGTTTCTAAAGATTCCTAGGTGCTTTCAGTGTGCAGTTAAGTTTGGGAAACACTTGTTTAGACTATAATTTCTCCCCACGCTTTGCCTTTTATCTGTAGGAACTGAATGCCAAAGCAGCTTCTCTGTTTGAAACAAATGATGATCACTCTGTCACCGAGGGCATTAATGTGATGAATGAGCTGATCATCCCCTGCATTCACCTTATCATTAACAATGACATTTCCAAGGATGACCTGGATGCCATTGAGGTCATGAGGAACCATTGGTGCTCTTACCTTGGCCAGGATATTGCAGGTAAGCTGTTGTTAGCACATCTAAGAATGTTCTGAATATTCTCTTTATAGCATTGGTTGCCAAAACTTTTTAAGGGATTGGAACCTCTCAGCTTGTGAGTGGGTAAAAAGTGGATCTCTTCCAGCTCAGTGCCTCTGGCTGAAGTGGCTAAGGCGCCAGGCATATACACCTGAGCTGGCAGGTTCAAATCCAGCCCGAGCCCATCAAACAACAACAATGGCTGCAACCATAAAATAGTCGGGCGTTGTGGTGGGTGCCTGTGGTCCCAGCTACTTGGGAGACTGAGGTAGGAGACTCGCTTGAGCCCAGGAGTTGGAGTTTGCTGTAAGCTGTGATGCCACGGCACTCTACCCAGGAGAACAACTTGAGGCTCTGTCTCAAAAAAAAAAAGTGGATCTCTTCCACTGAAACAAGGGAAGAGAGCCCGGCCCTCTTCCCCTCTTACCTCTCTTACCTTCCTGTGGCTGCTGAAGCATTTCCATGGGCCACCAACAAGCCCAGTCTGAAAAACATCCCTGTTCTCCAAGGATGTCAGACCTGTTATTCTGTCATCTACCAAAACCTAAACTCTTTTATATTAAAATCTGAATCTGTTTATGCAGAGTATGATCACTTCGTGGTGCCTTAACTAAATTTGTGTGTGGCTTAAAGTTTGAGGACATGAAAATATTAATTAGAATGACTTCAGGATCCATAAATTCACACATGGAAGATCCTCGTCTGTCCAAAGTCTCTTGGGGAGGGAATCTAAAATTAGTAATTTTTAAGTTAGACTTGAAAAGTTGATGTATATAATCCTTTTTGTTAGTCACTGATGTAAAGATTTTTCATTGATTTGCTCAAGAGACCAAGTTTATAGTATTTAATAAAAAATTCTATAATAACTAGTTGCTACATACTCTATTTTAGTGTCTTCAGTTTTTATTTGGACCATGTGACACATGGCTTTACTTAGTGCCATGTGTAGATACTTGTATATTTTAATCATTTGACGGAAAATAGCACCTTTATATCTTTGGTACAGGGTATCACATCCACTTTCTCCAATTTTAAAAGGACGATTGTTTAGAAGACCTACTCGTTCATAATGAAATGAAACTATAGTGTTATTCTGCCAACATCAGATGGCCTAAACCATTCTAAGGCTTTGGTATATTTGGCAAGTCCTTCTCCTGGTTTTGCCTAAGGGAATCATCATTTATTGGTAGCTGGCCTCATAATGCTTTCAGTTTGAGGTTAGGTAAGGGGTTATTTAAAGGCTTTTTTGTATAGTTGCAGGCTTACTAGTTTTTACTCAGAACTCAGTATGCAACTGTCCATTTTTTCTCCACAGAAAATCTGCAGTTGTGCTTAGGGGAGTTCCTGCCCAGGCTTCTAGATCCTTCTGCAGAAATCATTGTCTTGAAGGAGCCTCCAACTATTCGACCCAATTCTCCCTATGACCTTTGTAGCCGATTTGCCGCTGTCATGGAGTCAATTCAAGGAGTTTCAACTGTGACGGTGAAATAAGCCTCCATGCGCTCGGGCCCGTCCTGGTACCTGGCTGTCTGCCTTTTGCACGGAAGTCTGTTGTCGTAGTACTCACCTGGGGAGAGGATTAGGTGGACAAGTAAGATTCAGATTCAGACCCCAGCCATGCTGCGTGTGTAAAGAAAGGATGACAAATAAATTTGCACTTTTTAGGTACAGAATCTAAAAGCTGTTTCACTAGAAAAGGCAAGAACCAGTGTATTCAGGTATTGAATTATGCCAGAAGACCCGAAACGCCTTTGCACCTACGGTAACGCCTGGGCTTTTCTGAGCCTCTTGCCACATTCTAAATGACCCTTCAGGCATAAATATTTTTGACAGCAGAATAGAAGAGTGATTCATCAGAACCTGAACTAGATGAACAGCTGCTAGCTATTTTGATCAAATACAGGTGACATTTAAAAATTCCTAACTGCAGGAGATTAGGAATATAAACCTTGCCTGGCTCTTGACAGGAGGTGACAAAGTGACTCACTGACAAGCTGCGCCCTTTTACGGGTGGGTAGAATACAAGGTCACATGGCAATAAGATGCTGAAAAGTCAAGAGAGCTGCCTCCCCTTCCTTTCTTCTCTCCTTTCTATTTTTAAATAAACCAGAAAACCTCATACTCAGCCCTGAGTGAAAGAAAAGAAAACAGTTGAAGACTTCAGACAGAATAGCGTTGTGAGACTTCACTAAAGATAGTGTATGATAGTCGTTAGCCATGTAGGTAAGATTTTCTAATATCTGAAAATTGTTAAAACAGGTGTCTAAGGCTACTGCTGGCTCAAAAGACCCTTTAATTCCTCTCCCCTTTTTTTGCTCTTCAAAATAAGGGATGTGGGTTTGTAAAAAGAAAAAAAAATCTATATGTATATGTAGAGAGAAAAATATTCCCTGTTGGCCATTTTTTAAAAAGGTCCCAATTGGATACTGTATTTTAAATAAATTTTCAGATTAATGGTGGAATTGTGGGAGGGAAGAACACTTGATACTTGATACAACTATGCAGATTTTATAAATGTGCAATAAAAATATTTGTTTTACCTTTGGTGTACAGCGTGGGCTTTCTTTAAATATGTATTTTTCGTTTTGGAAGTGGGTGACGGAGGAAACGTTTATCTGGTTTCAGTCTTTCTTCTTTAAAAGAGAAAAGCACATTAAAGGGCTGAGAAACTTGATAGGCCAGGGGTGCCAGGGTTGGAAGTTGTAGGCAACTGTCCGTTCTTGAGCGGCCCCTAGTGGTGACGGTTCCTCTTCGTCTCATTTGCTGTCTGCATTGTATGTAAGCACGTCCACTTGTCACATGTGGGAATTCTTAAACCTAATTTCTTGTATAGTTGTTCCTCGCTATGTGCGGGGGTTTTTAGTTCCAGGACCCTTATGCATAACAAAACCTGTGCATACTGAGGTTTGCCCAGCAGCAGCCACACAGGAAAAGCTGGCTTTCCCTATACTTGGGTTTCACATTCTGCAAATAATGTATTTTTGATCTATATTATGTTGAAAAAGAAAAAACACATAAGCGGACTCACACAGTTCAAATCCATGTTGTTTAAGGGGCAAACTGTATCTTTTTTTTTTTCTGGAGACAGAGCCTCAGGCTGTCGCCCTGGGTAGAGTGCTATGGCATCACAGCTCACAGCAACCTCCAACTCCTGGACTCAAGCGAGTTTCCTGCCTCCGCCTCCCAAGTAGCTGGGACTGCAGGCTCCCACCACAACGCCCAGCTACTTTTTGGTTGCAGCCGTCATTGTTGTTTGGTGGGCCCGGGCTGGATTCGAACCTGCCAGCTCAGGTGTATGTGGCTGGCGCCTTAGCCGCTTGAGCCACAGGCGCCAAGTCGGCAAACTGTATCTTGATTAAATTAGTAGTAGGTATGTTTATTTCTGTTATAGATTGTCAGAGGGGCTTTTGTGTTTTAAAGCTCTTTGCAAACATTGCTTCCCTAGGAAGTTGATCAGTTTTCTTATTCACTGATTATCTTTTATTATTTAAATTCTGCGTACCACCATTTGCCTTTCACTTAATCTTTTCATTGAATAGTGTACACAGTGCTTCAGTTGTGTAATGTAACTTAACAACCCTGGGATGATGATAGGAACCCTGGTTTATCTATGGTTGTAGATCTCATTAAGTAGCAGACGAGAACACTAACTCTTTGTGGCTGACTTCAGAGCCCGTGCCTTTAACAACTGCTCAGCGGTCCTTGGTAGTCTTGTAAAATGTTTTGTTCTGTGTCTTTTCACATTGGGCTTATCTCCTGGTCAGCTATTGGGAATCTACACTCTTGGCCAAGCAGTGCTGAGTAGTCTGTGTCGTTTGGATACACTTAGGCCACCGGGGGAGTGCTGAGAACTATTCCCCCCTCTTCATGTTAGCCGGCTTCTTACAGGGCTTTACCATAAGGTTTTAGATACTAGGTTTTTAAAACAGCCTTTAGGCTAAGAAAGGTTTTTACCTTTTTAAATGGTTGGGAAGAATAAGGATGTGGGGAAAAGGCAACAAGAAACCTACATGACCCTTACCCAGAATGAATCAAGAGTTTGAGCACCTCAGCATAAACCCCTGTGAGACTGCAATTAGGACTTTCCGTGGTTAACTGGAATTAGAATTCTTTGGGTTTGCTAGCTCCTTTAAGAACTAGGAAGCATATAAACTCCGTATTACCCAATTCATTTTACGAAAGTATGAGTGGAGATCGCAAAAGAATTTAAATAAACCAATGAATGAGGCAAGGATTGAATGGAGAGCCGGGGATGTAGCAAGGATAGGATAGAAGGGAGAATTGTGGCTGAGCAGACACAGGCGTTAGTTTGTTCACTTTCTTGTATTTTCATTGTATGACGGTATCTCAGTGACAACTGTATCTGTATCAGGAACAAATGATCAGTAACAACTGTATCCGTCGTTAATTCACTTTCTTGTATTTTCATTCTATCACTGTATCTCACCATTTATTCTGGTGTCAGTTGACATTTATTCTCAAATGTCATTTGAGTGGTTTACAGTTTGGGGGTATTACGTGTAATGCTCCCAGGAACAGTAATTTACATGTCTTCTGATGAGCACATGAACACATTTCTGCTGGTACATCACTAGAAGTGGAATCACTTGGTCTTAGGAATATACAGAAATAGATAGATCTTTATTAAGTGCTGCCAGTTATCCCTCGTGGTTAGATCAGTGTAAATTCCCATAAGCAGTTTGTAAGCGCTGTAGCTGCTCCACATCCCTAACATGGGGTTTTACCAGTGTTTTCCACTTCCTTGTGTCTTCATATACTTCATGGTCTTTGGCTATTGTCTTTTGTGAAATACCTATTTAAGCCCTTTATCCACTTTTTTTTTTTTTTTTTGAGATAGAGACTCATGTTGCCCTTAGTAGAGTGTCGTGGCGTCACAGCTCACAGCAGCCTCAAACTCTTGGGCTTGAGAGTTTCTCTTGCCTCAGCCTCCCAAGTAGCTGGGACTACAGGCACCAGCCACAACGCCCAGATATTTGTTGTTGTTGTTTCAGTTGTTATAGTTGTTTAGCTGGCCTGGGCTGGGTTTGAACCTGCCAGCCCCAGTGTATGTGGCTGGTGTCCTAACCACTGAGCTATGGGTGCCAATCCCATTTACCCAATTTGTAGGCGTTCTTTATGTATTCTAATTATGGAACTTTACTGTCTAGACACATCGCATGCATCTTCCACTCTGTGGCTTTACATTCTTGATGTCTTGTGATGAAAATAAGTTGGTTTTTTTTTTGAGACAGAGCCTCAAGCTGTCCCCCTGGGTAGAGTGCTGTAACATCACAGCTCACAGCAACCTCCAACTCCTGGGCTCAACTGAGTCTCCTGCCTCCGCCCCCCAAGTAGCTAGGACCATGGGTGCCCACCACAACGCCTGGCTATTATTATTTTTTTTTGGTTGCAGCCATCGTTGTTTGGCAGGCCTAGGCTGGATTTGAACCGGCCACCTTAGGTGTATGTGACTGGCGCCTTAGCCACTTGAGCCACAGGCGCCGCGCCGAAAATAAGTTTTTAATATTAATGTCATCCAGTGTACTTAAGTCTTTTTCTTTATGGCTAATGTTTACCATGGCCTAATGAAGAAGTGGTTACCCAAGGTCACTAATATAATTTCCATAGTCTTCTAGAAGTTTTGCCTTTCACATTTAGCTGATTACCCAGCACTGTTTATTGAAAACATTGTCCTTTTTCAGTCCTGGACACTGCTGTCTTTGTCATAAACCAGGTATCTGTAAAGCTCTAAAAGAGCTTTCTGGGCCCTTTCATCTGTTCCAATAGCCTGTTTCTCTGTTGCACCAGTATGACACTGTATGATTTAGCATAGCTTTATGATAAGTCTCATTTCCAGTACAATGAATTCCCCAGTTTTGTACTTGTTCAAGATCGCCCTGGCGGTTCTGATTCTTTGCATTTCCATGTACATTTCAGGATGCCTGTCAGTTTCACACATGTGCACATAAATTTCTAGGGGTTTTGATTAGGTTTGCAATGACTGCAAATAATTTAGGGGAGAATTGACATCTGGTGGACATTTGCATGGCGTATCTTATTCAGATTTTCTTCCTTTTTTTTTTTTTTTAACTTACAGGAACAGCAGCACAGAAGATAGACAACATTAAAAACATGTATTTGGGCTGGGTGTGGTGGCTCACGCCTGTAATCTCAGCACTCAGGGAGGCTGAGGCAGGTGGATTGCTTGAGCTCAGAAGTTTGAGACCAGCCTGAGCAAGAGCGAGACCTTGTCTCTACTAAAAATAGAAAAACTAGCTGGGCATTGTGGCAGGCGTCTGTGGTCCAAGCTACTTGGAAGGCTGAGGTAAGAGAATTGCCTGAGCCCACGAGTTTGAGGGTGCTGCCATGGCACCCTAACCAGGGCAACAAGAGTGAAACTCTGTCAAAAAGAAAAAAAAAAAAGCAAAAACATGTATTAGCTGTAATCATAGCACTCTGGGAGGCCAAGATAGGTGGATTGCTTGAACTCAGGAGTTCGAACCTAGCCTGCTAAAGTGCAAGACCCCCATCTCTACTAAAAATAGAAAAAAAAAAATAGCCAGTTGTGGTGAGCTCCTGTAGTCTTGGCTATGCAGTAAGCTGAGGCAAGATGATTGGTTGAGCCCTAGAGTTTGAGGTTCCTGGGAGCTATGACATTAGGGCACTCTACCCAGGACAGCAGAGTAAGACTGTCTCAAGAAAAACAAAACACCACTTGCCTGTAGGACAACTCAGAAAAGTATAGTAAACAGGTGGAATCTCCTGTATGAACAAAGTGCTACAAATGTTGAGTTATTGTCGGTAAGAAATTTACTTGTTCTAACGAAATCCAAATGATAGCATTGTCCAGAAAATGTTAACAGCTTTGTTTGTCATTGACAGAAAGTGGAACTAAAATTTGTTCACTGAAACATTCGACTTGCCTTAATGCTTTATACACCCTGTTAAAAAATTTGCACACCAATGAAAATGGAAAACCTGCCAATACCTGATTTCTGTCTCTTATTTTTCCACTCAACAATCACATACTTAGGTACCTTTTGACTTCGTGGAAAAAAAATAACAACATTCCAAATTACCCATAACAGGAAGATTTTATACACACACACATATACATGTATATATTTGAAAACAAAATGCTTCCCAGCCTAGCGGATGCCTTTTCTTTGTTCCTTTGTGTGTTTTCCAGGCGTGCCACGTGCTAGCTGGATGTCTTTTGAGATAAATGCTATACATGGGGCATAGACAGCACACAGGTTGCTGCTGTCAAAAAGGCCACCCAGGCCTGTGCTGTGGTTTATGCCTGTAGTTCCAGCCCTTTGGGAGGCTGAGGCAGGAGGATCCCTTGACCCCAGAAAGTGGAGACTTTCCTGAGAAACATAGCAAGACTCAATCTCTGCAAAAGAAGTTCAATTTGGTGGTTATAATGGCACATGCCAGTAGGCATAGCTACTGGAGAGACTGAGGCAGGAGGATGGTTTGCGGCCTGGAGTTCGAGGCTGCAGGGAGCTATGAGGAGGCCAGTGAACTCGAGCCTGGGTGACAAAGCAGAACTCTGACGCAAAAGGTGCACAGGTGGAGGGATGGGGGTTAGAGGAGGATGTGGGGGGGGAAATCTACTGGTCTCCTACAGTGTGCACTGTTCTGGTGACAAGTGCGCCCTGACAGCCCTGACTTGAGCACAATAAGATTCATCCATGTAGGCTCGGCGCCTATAGCTCAACCGGCTAAGG